TCCATATTTTCAAACTATTTGGTTCTATTTCAAATTCTTCCGGTAAAAATATGTTTATGTAACAAGAGGTCAATAGCTCGACTGAAAAAATACCCAAAAATTTCCAAAAGATCGCATGATCGAGTAACAGCTGATATGGGTAAGAATATCAAAAACTAGTTCAGACCTAAAAAGATATATGAACTTCTGCCTGGAACTTCTCAGTTTACACAACAACAAAAAATTCCATTTAAGGTAACAAAAAATAAAGGCTAAAGGGTGACTAGAACTCTGAGTATGGTCATTTATATTTTGACAAATAGATTTTTCTTTGTCAACGTTTGTCCTGTAGTTTGGTGTATCAACAATTACTCGCAAATAGTAGATACTTTTAGTGAAATTCATTCTCATTGAGGTCTTAACTCCTTTGACATACGTTGTTAAAGTCTCTAACCGTAATCTAACAACTTGCAAGCGTAATGATTCACAAGTCTCAGATTTGTAGCCATTTCATGTATGTACCTAACCTTATGATTGTTGATCTATTTCAATACTAAATGTTTATAATTATCAATCCCTTGACAACATAAAATGTGTTGTTCCCCATGAGGACCTTTCTACCATCAAACTCTTCCAAATCAAATACTATATAACTTATCAGTGTCATATGATTATTATATCATTATCTTGTGTGTCATGTACTCATGTTCACTTCCAGTCAATTTTCTCCTTGGACCAATTTTGTTTCTCCAAATTATTTCCCATACAACATCATATCCTTATTGCCTTTACACTCTGATCTTGACTTTGATCTTTTTACACGAATCCTCTTCTCCACCTTTCCAGGTATATGTACGAGCAAATATAACAAGACTTTGATCTAATTTTGCATGGTCTACGAAGTTGAGTCATGCATTATCATAAACCCCCTTCATTGCATATAATGAACGTATCTGAAATTTTTGCACAAAAAAAAAAAAAAAAAAAAAAAGAACGTATCTGAAATATACTAAGCATTTTTACCTTCGATCAATTGTTCTTCCACCAATTTTCCTATCAAGAAGTACCTATAATTTTTGGTTCTCGACAATTTTATTGCTCTCTACATGACTACATAGGATTGGAGTAATTATAAAGTATCATGGAATTTGATGAATCCACATTTATTATTTATTCGTTTTCTTTATATTGAAATCGAATCTCCAACGTTGAAAATATATTCACATAATCAGCGAAATAATAATTTTGGAACAAACAAATAATAAAGAAGAATTCTTTTCATTCCAATTAAAGAAGAGAATTTTTCCACGTCAACTAAAATAATAAAGAGGAATTATTTTTGTCACTCTTTCTACAATAATTTTGCTTTTCCTCTCATTTTGTATAGAATTTATATATCTTATTCCTCTTACCATTCCCCTTGAAATTGGAAAGAGAAAATCTCTGGCAAAGAACGACTTGAACAGGACAATGATATCATATCATGTTAGTAATAGTCATCATCATATTATATGTGGCTGACAATGATCATGTACGTGTAAATCTGTAATATATAAACACACCTTATGGACAATAATAATGCTTAAACCGACTAGAGAACTAGAATGGACAGAGTTGCGGCAAGAATAGCTAAAATCCGTTCGCAGCTTACTAAATCTAGTTCACTATTCTTACTCTATTTCATCTACTTCTTGCTCTTCTCCTTTTTAGGGTTCTTGGCTCTAAAGATCACAAAGCCAAGAACCACTTCACGTCCTCATGACTTGGACCTCTTCTTCACTTCTGTTTCTGCCATCACTGTCTCTTCCATGTCTACCATCGACATGGAAGTATTCTCCAACACTCAACTTATCTTCCTCACTATCCTCATGTTCCTTGGCGGCGAAATCTTCACCTCCTTTCTAAATCTCTACTTTCAACATTTCACCAACTTTGTCTTCCCTCATAACAAGATTAGACATCTTGTGGGATCTTTTAACTCGGACCGTTTGGTCGATGATCACCGTAGTGACCTCGAGACTGTTACTGATCATCGCGAGGGTCTTATAAGCAAGATCGAAGAAAGGGCATCTAAGTGTTTGTACTCGGTGGTTCTTAGTTACCATCTTGTATCAAACCTAGTTGGCTCTGTGTTGCTTCTTGTGTACGTAAACTTTGTAAAAACGGCGAGAGATGTTCTTAGTTCAAAAGAAATCTCACCTCTCACTTTCTCCGTCTTCACAACTGTCTCCACGTTTGCAAACTGCGGATTTGTCCCCACGAATGAGAATATGATCATCTTTCGCAAGAACTCGGGTCTCATCTGGCTCTTAATCCCTCAAGTACTGATGGGAAACACTTTGTTCCCTTGCTTCTTGGCTTTGCTCATATGGGGACTTTATAAGATCACAAAGCGTGACGAGTTTGGTTACATTCTCAAGAACCACAAAAAGATGGGATACTCTCATCTACTCTCCGTACGTCTATGTGTTCTTCTTGGAGTGACGGTGCTAGCATTTCTAATATTACAGCTTCTTGTCTTCTGTGCCTTTGAGTGGACCTCTGAGTCTCTAGAAGGAATGAGTTCGTACGAGAAGTTGGTTGGATCGTTGTTTCAAGTGGTGAATTCGCGACACACCGGAGAAACTATTGTAGACCTCTCTACACTTTCCCCAGCTATCTTGGTACTCTTTATTCTTATGATGTAAGTTTCTTTCAATCCTCTCCTCATATATTGATGCATTTGCATGGACTCAAAATATTTAGATTGAAAAGTGCACTATATTTCGACATATTTTCACATATGTAAAATGTGACATGCATATACATAGGTGAAATTTACGAATAAATCAACTAAAACACTTGAGATAGTGTTACTATAATACAATCCAATACTATAATAGGTCACGACATGAAAGTTGGCTGACACTTAACATATCCTGCATGCGCATATTATCCCACATAATGTAGTTTGGAAAATTATTATATCATTTACCTAACTTATGAAGCAAACATTTTCCTAACTATTATTGTTTATACTATACCAAAAAAACACGTTTATTGTTTATTTAAAGATTCTTTAGCACGTAACGCCAATCATGCATGGTTGGGTGGTAGAACCAAAGATTTGCATTAGTTTTAGTGCTATATTTTTGGCTGAATCCACCAATAAATCAGCTTAGAAAATGAAGGCCTATTTTATTTGGTTCACTCCTATGGATTGAGGAAGTTAAATTCGAGTCTAACAATGGTTGGCAAATAATTTTTTTACATAGTTTGAATACCTAACTAATTTATAAATTTTGGAGATTAGTATTTATTTTGGTAGATCTTCTGGTTATAGAGAATACTAATAATAATATAAAAATTGAGCTTTTGTGGAGTATATTAATTTTCTTTCACTACAAAAAGGTCAATGAATTGGTCACGGTTTCCACAAAAAAATTATAAAAAAAAAAATAAAAAAAAAACAGAAAAAACAACAATTTGATTCTCAAGTTTTCCACAAAAACATTAACGCATGCAGTAAAACTTAAAAAACAATTTTTTTTTTTGTCGCAAAATATATTAGTTGGAAAAGTTCTTAAAGTTGTTTTTTTGAAAACGTGTTTTCACTTAGAAGAATTTTCGAATATAATATATAATATATATATATATATATATTATATATATAGTTACCAAAAAGGAACCTCCAAGAGAATATAGTAGACAAGATATATTTGATAGAGTTAATCAGAATATTTCCATGGTTTTAGATTCAGTAAAATGTGCCTTCAAGGTAGTGGAATGTCTCAGTCTCCAGTTCATCATATTCACAAAGCATTATTCTTTCTAATTTTTTTTTTTATAAAAATTGTTGGGACTAATAAGTAAAATATAACTGCGTTGACAAGGTATCTTCCTCCATACACATTATTTATGCCTTCTACGGAACAAAAGACGATAGAGAAAGAAGGAGATGATGATTCCGGAAATGGAAAGAAAGTGACAAAGAGTGGACTCTTCGTGTCACAACTTTCCTTTTTGTCGATATGCATTTTTCTCATTTCGATCACCGAAAGGCAAAAACTACGACGCGATCCACTCAATTTCAATGTCCTTAACATCACTCTCGAAGTTATCAGGTATATTTATTACATATTCTGCATCCATGATCACGAAAAAGTTCAAAATATCTTGTCTAAAAATTGGGAATCCATCTAGGTGATTACATATAATATATGTAACATTTGACAATCCACGTATTCGTAATTCACCTAACAAATAAGAGAACGTGTGTAAATAACTTTATATGAAATTTTGTAGTGTCTATAAACAGAAATTCTTACAAAAATACGGCATAAGAAAAGACAATGATCCAAACTCCTTCAATATACTATAGTTAAGAGCTTAAGTTATACTACAATCTATGTTAGGAATCCCACAATATGTGTGATATGACATAGAATAGAATAGTATATGACACTCATTACAAATTGATTTTGAATTAGAAATTTAGACTTATCAACAAATTAATTTTTGTAATGGCAGTGCATATGGAAACGTGGGTTTCACTACCGGGTACAGCTGTGAACGGCGTGTGGACATCAGCGATGGTGGCTGCAAAGACACGGGTTATGGGTTTGCAGGACGATGGAGTCCTGTCGGAAAATTCGTACTAATAATAGTAATGTTTTATGGCAGGTTTAAGCAGTTCACTGCCAAATCTGGCCGCGCATGGGTACTTTATCCCTCTTCCTAACATATCACTTTAGTATTCCTTTTCTGTGTGTGATGTACAATAAGTTTGTATGTAGTTTTCATCATCGTTATTATTATGACAATGTATGAAAAATATAATTTGAGTCTATTGTCTTCTTGTGTTTCATGTTACGGAAAAAACACCTCGAACTCTTCAGAAAATTTGTTAAACAGTAATAAATATTTGTTATGGTAATTTCAGATCTCAACAAGTTAGATGCAAGTTTCTTTCCTCCGTACTAAATTTCTATATTCAACTTTGGTAACTGGACTCATCACATATCTATCCGACCATAAATTTTGAGTTGAATAAAAGTTTAGTATTGTACAAATAGAACGAGTAAAAGAGTCTCAACACTGGCATTTAAACTTTTTGCAACAATCTAAAGAAGCACTTTAACAGGTAAGGTATGGAAGAAGAAAAATAAGGGATTAAACGTTTGAAATAAATCCCGGGTTACCACAATCAATCAGGCAAAACTGAAGGAGGGCTCATGCGTTCCTCTTGCTCAAAAAGTCGTCACCGACTGACAGATGCAAATGTTCTCCTAGAACAACAGTCACAGCAGGCAGGTTTTCAACACAGCTTAAAGTTATCTGCCATACAAGATACATTAAAATGATAAAGTAAACAGTTTGGATATCAAAAGCTTAACTAACTATCAGGAGGATTTTGAGTGGTACAAACAAACCTTCCCATCTCCGGCTTGGAACTCCGATTTTAAATTTGAATGATCCCTTGATAACAAGTATGTTTGGAGCCCGGTTGCAGATTTCACATCTCCTGAAATCATAGATGGACTCATTAAAGAGAAAAAGAGAGAGAGAATTGACGCATACATTGTGATGAGATAGTGACTCACCCGAGTATAAAGCAAGAATAGCCTCTTCATTGAACTTCAAAGCCGGTCTAGCCAAACTTATCTTATATGACAACTTTGGAGCCTTTTTGACACTCTCATCGGATGTTTCTTTTGGTGTAAATGTCTCATCGGCTATTATGACCTGTTACATAAAAGATAGGAGGATAAACATGAAGCTTCTGCCGTGCAACGAAATAAGCAGATATGGGAGTTTTGATGACTTACAGCATGCGATGGCATTAAAGTAGACAGAAGCAAAGGGGAGCCGATTGAATCCTTAATGTTTTGTTCCTGTCCAACAAACAAGAATGATGAGACAGAATTAAGGTATGTGGTTGCGGAATTTCATGTTGGAAACATAAATTTTCGTTTGATCCATAGCTGAACAAATAATTACGTACACGCAATGAAACATTCAAAATTTCAAGTAGAATTTAAGTTAGTATGAATTGAGTAACAAACCAAAACAAGTCACCTGAGAGACTAGAACTTGTTTAGAAACAGATTCATCCTCGTCCAATGATTCAAAGTACACGTCCACAGTGTCTGTTGGTTCCAGACCTGACTTTTTCCGCAGTTTCTGGATCCTATTGACAATCTACAACACAGGGAAAGAAAGCTCGTGAGCACAACATTAGCTGCTAAATCTGGAAATAGAATATTTAGATACAGAAAAAAGAAACCCACAGAAGATATACAAGTTATAAGAAAATGTATTGCTTTGGTTTCATCTAGGACTAGTACAGGATTAGACGTTATATCTTTACCTCACGGGCAAAACCTGCTTCGACCAAAGAATCATCTGCTCGTAGATCCAGAACCACCAAAACATCACCTGCATCATGATAGAAAGCAAGTATTATATGTATCCTACAAACAGAGAAGTGGTAATTAATTACGATTCTTACCATCTCCAGCGGAATCAATCTCATTATCTTTCAAATCGTCTGGGCGTTTGAAAACCCTAACAATCTGAACAACACATGAAAGATATATGTCAAAATTTTCGCTATTAAAAACATACTCTTTATGCTATCTCACAGGAAAACACCATAGCATGAGAGACCTTGATATCTTTTAGCTTTAGCAAGTGGTTAGCAATAGTAGCTTCCCCAGCCTTCTCAAATGTTAAGATATCTTTTTGAGACATTTCTTTAACTTCCTTTGCAACAAGCCCCATCGACTTTCCAAGTCGCTTTCCCAATACACTGCAGGAATGAACATGTAAAATTTCACTCTACATCTCTTTGGAAAGGCATTGAGCTCAACGGTTAAAAGAAAAACACAGACAGAAAACTTAACCAACCTGAAATCTGGTTCTGCTTTTAGAGATGCATACTTCAGAGTATCATTGCATGGTACAAGAGATCTTACGTTAAGTTCTTCCAAGACATACTGAAATGCAAAATCAAACAGGATAAATCCACATAGCTATCATTTGCTGATTTCAAATAGTCCTCAATAACCTCAAAAAATTTCATAGCTATTAATTAAAACTTCCAGAAGATAAACTACTGTTCCTGTAACACAACAGACCTCTCTTAGTACTCCTGTTATGTCATTTAAGAATTCTGCATCTGGATGGACTACAATCATTTCCCTGATACAACAAGGATAAGCATGTATGATTTTTTTATTCATGTTCCAGATTAACAAAGAAGAAACTGAAAACGATCAAGTACCAACACTCACTTTAGAGGAGTTTTCAAGGGTAGTTTGTTACGCTCACGAATGTTCCGAGCAAGATCAATGATTTTCATCATCCTTGTAACACTATCCTCAATCCTCTCCCCTTCCTATTTGAACACAAGAAGAAATATAAGTAAGCAAAAATTCAGACAACTTATATTTTATCCTTGGATATAGAGACATTGACTTGAGTCTTACCGTTCCTTCCTCTGGTGGAATACTGCAATAGTGAACGCTTTCCTCAGAACCTTTACACGCTTTCCGCAAATTCTGGTATAAAGTTTCAGTGAAGAAAGGTGTAAAAGGGGCCATCACTTTGCAAGTAGTAAGGAGCACCTGAAAATAGACAATTATTACTAATAACAAGTGTTCAAATCATGATGACCATGCAAACAAAATATCTCTGCAACTATTTTTTAGTATACATTGAATAGAGTTGAAAGAGCAGTGTGACAATCATCTTCCCCCGTACGGCCTTTTAACCTCTTGCGGTTGAATCTAACATATACGTTAGTGAGACTGTCGAGGAACTTCAAGAGATGAGGAACCACCTAAACAGAAAAAGAAATACAAAGATGTGATAAATACCACGAGACAGTGATAACGTTATTCTAATACGAACACCATATCATGCTGAAAATAACATGTAAGAAACTTACAGTGTAAAGCTGATATTTTTTCATCTCCTTGCGAACAGTACGAACAAGACTCTGTGTAGCTGAGTGAATCCACTGATCAAGAACGTTTGCTGACTGTAAAGTTGCCAGATTAGTAGGAACAAAGGGCCCACCACCCTCAGTCTCAAGTCTTTTTGCATTCTGAACAAGGAACCGATATGCATTGTACCATGGAAGGAATACATCTTTGACCTAGTGAATCCCAATGAGGACCAGAAAAATTCAGACAAACAACAAATCTGGAGTCTATAAGCAGTAATTAAATCAACCACCAAAATCACTCACAACACCAAGTACTCCTTCTTTTTTGAAGCGTAGTGTCTCAGCACGTACAACCGGAGAATTTATCAGGTACAATCGCACAGCATCCTGTCAAGGTTCACATAAAGTCACGAAGTTATGATGTATATACACTGCCACATTTTCATAGCTATGGAACATTTAACGAAAAAAGAATAAGAAGCTCAAAAACGCAGTGTAAGAGCATACAAAAGGGAATACTTACAGCCCCATACTCATCTATGACTTCCAAAGGTGGTGGATAATTCCGTAGTTTTTTACTCATCTTTTTTCCATCCTCAGCAAGTACAAGACCATTGCAAATCAGATTTTTAAATGCTGGTTTTTCAAATAATGCAGTAGACAACACCATAAGAGTATAAAACCTGTAGATACCTAACCCAAATTTAGACACTATTAATTGCATACTTAGCAGAAAAAATTATTGCTTAATATGCCTTCACATAAAAACTTCTAGAATCACATTCCATAGTAAACTGATCACACATTCCTTTAGATTCGAGTCATTACTTAATTAAGTGCAATCATTGAGGGGTAACTAAGATCCAGATCATCCCATACAATAAAAGAACAGAACAAACCCAGAGACAAAGCAAGAGAAAATTTGTTAGAAGATCTTAAAGGATATATCAATGTAGAATTCCCTTCTTGATAACATATGAGAAGTTCAGAACTGAAATGATATGGGTTCTTAGCACCTATCTTGGGTTAAATTCCTCTCAACATGATAAACACCAACTAAGATTTACAATATTAGAAGGAAAAGGTTATATTCCATTCTCAAAGACCTTAATAAAAAGCAACATTTTTTCACCATGTAACCATAATATCGATCAAATCACTTTAAATGCTAAAGCTTAACTAATATAATGGCTTATATTTCTCGCTACAGTCAAGATATAGAATGACATACCATCCACGAGTTTGATCAAGCCCTTCAGCCACAAAATGACCAGGAAAGTTATTCTCAAATAGCTCCTTGTTTTCAAATGGGTAATGGATATACGCATAAGGCATTGAGCCACTCTCAAACCAACAATCAAAAACCTGAAAAGCATGATATAAGCGTTAGCATGGGATAAGACCCCCAAACACTCATGGACTTGTGATAAATGAAACAAATTGGATCCATCTTACGTCTTCTACACGACGAAGCACACCAAACTCATGGCCACGACTAGATGGGATTGTAATATGATCAATATGGTGACGATGCAGATCAAAGACCTGCACCATAAATCATCAGAAAAACAAATGAGCATCAGACTTTTTGACAACTACATTCTCCAGCAAGAAATAAAGAACAAACCCCCACAGAGTGTCATAAAGTTGAACAGAAAATATAAGGAAGACTTCTAGAAAAATTTAGTCAGATGTCAAACGAGATATTGAGTTATTCAGCAATTGAGTAGTAGCAAATATCAACCAAAACAATTGTTGATATAGAGGAGCCGAGATCGTGACAGTAGACTTTCCCAAAGCATCAGTGAGCTATTTGCTGATATAAAGAGACGGAAATAAAACGAACAAATGCAAACAACAAAAGAAGAGACCTTGACACCAGAGAGCTTTTCAAGCTTCTCTACGGAATCCATGACCACAACTTCCTCCCCATCATCACTGATCCATATCGGAAGAGGCGTGCCCCAAAATCTACTTCGGCTGATTGCCCAATCCCTTGCATTTTCGAGCCAATTGTGAAAACGTTTATCCTGAATTGCACATTAATCGAGAAAATGTATTCATATCAAAACTTAACAAAACAAACTAGTAATATATTATATACTCAGAGTACTGATCCTTTCTTATACCGACCTTCACATAACCAGGTACCCATCTTGTCTGGTCATTGCTCTTTAACAACTTTTCTTTCAACTGCTCCACACGAACAAACCTGACAGGTCAAAACACAAACAAACTTTAAAGTCATAACCACACATGAAACGACAGAATAAAGTTCATAACTACGGTCAGATACTACATACGAAATCTAAAATAAATAAATAAAAACATGGGAAATCAAAATATCCTAAACAGTTTGGTGATTATTCTGCCAAAAAAAAAATACACAAAGATAGCTAATACAGCTCCGAAACGGGGCTGCCAGATATAATCATATGAGAATCTTAGGATCATCATTCAAGCCAGCAGGACTGATACAGGACAAAAGCCTACATCTTTAAAGCCAAAGTTCAAGGCAAGGACTAGAGAGACAGAGTGCCTCACTGGAACTAGCACTAAATGATCCAACTACTAAGACCTTAGCTCAAACTCATATGAAAATGAAGCATACCAACTTGGAACAGCTCTGTATATGAGAGGGGTGTCTGATCGCCAGCAAAATGGATATGAGTGAGTAAAGCTTCCCGTTTTAACAAGCCTGCCCTTGGCCTGAGATAACAAAAATAATATTACTTCATGAAATAAATCACCTACAGTAGAGCAATCCAATGGTCCAAAAAGCACTTAGATTCTCTAAGAACCATGATAAATCATTATGATCTGAACTGACTAATCATGGCCTATATTAGGCATCAGTAATCACCTTAACGGCTTCAATTATATCCTTGTCTGCATCTTTGACATAACAGCCACTGAAGTGGGTAATTCTCTCAGTAAACAACCCATCATCATCAACAGCAACAACTAGATTCTCCCCCTGCAACATATATAGAACATTTAACACAATGAGATAAAGCAAGATTAGTAGAGTAAACGAGAATGGGTTCTTGAAGATACTGTAAGCCTAAACAAGAGAGAAACAACAAATGAGCATCTCGTTCTAAACAATAAATCATACAGTGTAAGCCATTAAACCTCTACAAACCCAGGAATTACCAACCCAAAATATAAGATCAACTAAACCACATCTGAAAAAGCATGATATTTTCTAGTCATGTGATCAGAAATTGAAACCATGGAAAAGAAAAATAGAAAAAGAATCTGGACACCCAGTTCATGTCTGATGTTAGCAGGGGTGATAAGGAAGATGTAGTCAAACCTAACCTTTTTGATTATTTTGTTCAAAAGACAAACACGATAATCATCTTCACCAAAGGCAGGAGCACAGTGGACAATACCAGTACCACTGTCATCAGTGACATAATCATCTGCTACTACTCGAAAGGCTTCACTTGAGAAATCGCTAAAGTATTCAAACAAAGGTTCATACTTCTTCCCAACCAGGGAAGCTCCATTAATTTTTTCCAAAACTTCATAAGAATCAGCTGCACTCTCAGGTTTAGCACCTTTCGCTTTAGGATTTGCTTTCTTGGTATCACCAGCAGGTCCATTACTTAACTTGGCCTTGGGCTTATCAGTGGGAAGAGCTGACAACCGAGACTCAGCAACAACGTAGACTTTTCCAGTGTTCTTGTTACGAACCTTCACATAGACAAACTTCGCATTGACACACAAAGCAAGATTGCTTGGAAGAGTCCACGGAGTAGTCGTCCATGCCACAAAAGCAGCATTATCTTGATCCCCAATAACCGGAAAAGTCACCATGATTTCAGGATCAGGGACTTCCTGTACATACACACATTCTACCAATATCAGAGATCAAAATACACAAACACAAAGCAATCAGCTGAAGCACACAATAACAACATTACCTTATAGTTCTGACCAGCTTCAAAATTAGATAAAGGTGTCTTACAACCAGTACTATATGGCATAACCTGCAAAACCATAAACGAGTCAAAAGATCAAATCTCGATTCTTATCAAACACACATAAATGCAGGAAGAGAAAGGCCAAACAAACCTTGAATCCTCTGTAAACAAGATTCTTATCCCAAAGCTGAGCAAAAACCCACCAAACACTTTCCATAAAAGGCAAATCCATAGTCTTATAATCATTTTTGAAATCAATCCAACGACCAGTCCTAGTAATAACCTTCTCCCACTCACCAACATAACGAGTCACAATACTTCTACACTCTTCATTATACTTATCAATCCCCATCTTAATCACTTCATCTCTCCTCTTGATATTCAATTTCCGATCAATCTCGTTCTCAACAGGTAAGCCATGACAATCCCACCCAAACCGACGAGTGACATGGTGACCATTCATGGACTGATACCGAGTCACGATATCTTTAATCGTACCGGCGAGGATATGTCCGTAATGAGGAAGTCCGGTGGCGAAAGGAGGTCCGTCGTAGAAGATGTACTCAGGGAGATTCTCAGTGCGTTTGAGCTGAGTTTTGAAAGCATCGATTTCATTCCAGAATGAGAGGACATCTTCTTCTTGACGAGGGAATGAGAATTCTTTTCCTTCGCATACTTCTTCCATGGCGGAAATGGAAGAATCTCAATCCCCTCGAAATTAGGGTTTCTGCAGATTTTGTTCGGCGCTGATGGAAAATATCTCAGTCCGGCGTTGAAGTTGAAGGTTTGTTTCGGTTTTTTAATTATTATTTTAAGTTTTTCAATAGCCGAACTTTCAAAAAATGGCCGTTTAATACGTGAACTTCTTATATGGCCAATTTAAACATGAAGTAAACGTTGACCGGCCAATTTAAACATGAAGTATTCGTTGACCAGGCCAAAAACCACACGCCGTTATCTGTCATTAACAGATCCGATAACAGCCATTTAACTCTCGTTAACGATTCCGTTATTGCCTAACGTTTTGGGCTTAATCTAAACCCCGAAAATCCCCAAATTGATTTTCAAATCCCTAATTCTGAAAAATCCCCAAAATTAGAACCTTAAGGCCGATTTTCGAGGCGAAGCAGAGAGTGTTGTGGATGCTGGAGTTGAAGCTCGAGGCGAATCTGAGATTGTTGTCGGAGACGGAGTTCAAGCTCCACCGGCGGAAGCGTTTCAGAGCCAGGTGGCAGAGATAGAATTCTAGTTCAACCGAATGTCGGAGACAAAGCTCGTGGCCGGCGTCAAAAACAAAGAAAACGACGTCGATTTGGGGATTTAGGGATTTCGATTAAGCCTAAAACGACGTCGTTTTAGGTAATAACAGAATCGTAAACGGTTGTTATCGGATCTGTTAACGACAGATAACGGCGTGTGGTTTTTGGCCTGGTCAACGAATACTTCATGTTTAAATTGGCCGGTCAACGTTTACTTCATGTTTAAATTGGCCATATAAGAAGTTCACGTATTAAACGGCCATTTTTTGAAAGTTGGGCTATTAAACGACATTTTTCCCTTTTACATATATGATTTTGTTTTATTTATTTAAATGTATATATATAGAGATTCGTATATATCTATAAATTGTAGGATTAGTCAATTTTAGTTTTATTTTTGAAAATATAAAGATATAACAAATTTAAAAGTTCAGTACTCACTTATGGATAATTTTTTAAAAATCAGATATGTTCTCTCACTCGCATAAATCACACCAACTTTCTCGGGTGAAAGTTCTTAGTTATTTTTTCTTTCTGATTTTACTTTGTTAGTTTGTCTGTCTAGTTTTCTCTATGGTTTTAAAAGTTGTTTTTTTTTTTTTTTTTTTTTTTTTTTTTTTAAATTATAGATTATATTTCATTACGGGCCAAAGCCCAAAATAAGCCATGGGCTTTTACAATCCGACAACAGATACAAAATGGGGTACATCGGAAACCTAGCCGTCAACAGAGGAGTAGATCGGACCCTGGTGGAAATTCGGAGGCAGAGAGCACGAGCAGTAGCTCTGGCGAACAATTCACGACATCGCGGCAGCGTCCTCAGATCGGAATCATTGGCAGAAGTGTTCGGTTTCCGCCGCCAATCCCTCTCCGACGAACCACCATCTCCGCTACAAATCTCCCAGAAGCTCCGTTCTCCGACACTCCGGGTCCGCCGTTGACAGATCCCCTACCTAGCAATCCGTCAAGCTCAGATCTATCCCTCCTCCTTCCATATCTGGCGATTTCCAAGACCGCCGAGCAAAAACCCTCTCAATCCGGACTGGTGGACGCAACAACGCGGCGGAAAAACGGAGGTTGAAGGCTCAAAGCAACCACCCATTTACCTGAACCCACGGGAGCCATCTAAGATCCCTAAGGACCTACAGTTAACCACCAAGTCAAATCGACGCATCCCACCTTATTCCCATCGACTTCCGCCGCAACCACTTCTCCGAATTGACGGTTGAGCCGAGATGAAACCGATTCAAACCCTACAGCGTCCTCAACCATGGGTTCTACTACGATTCATCTCTTCTGCCAACCCGGAGATTCAATTGCATCGAATGAGAAATAAAAACCACACCGCCGTCGACGGAGAGAAGGCCAGGCTCACCTCTGCTTCCGATTTGCAAAACCAAGACCAAGAAATGAAGAACTATCTAACGGAAATGCAGATCTGAGAAAGAAAAAACTTTCGAGAGCAGAGAGAGAAATGCTACAGGGAACGATTGGCCTTTTTTTTTTTTGTCCACCTTGTTGTTTCTTTTTATTTTGTTTTTCCTAGAAATTGATTCTTTGATTTCATTAACCATGGTGCTTGCATAGTTTGATTTTATCAACCATGGACCTTGCGTACCTCTCTAGGTTTTTCTAATTGTTAGTTATTTGGGGTTTTTGAATCAATTTTTGAATTCTATATCATAACCTTGTATTTCACATTCGTTATTGTTCACTGTAAACTAGATGCCTCTCTCTCTCTCTCTCTCTCTCTTATATATATATATATATATAGGATTTTATGTAATGGTTTTCATTAAGAATGAAGAAAATGAGTTTGTTTCTATTTCTTTGTACAAACTTTTCTCGATTCAATGATTCTTCTGACAATCTACTATTGCAGCAATGTGGATCTTAATTGCATCAAAGATCAGAAGAATTCTTGGTTGCCAAACTCTTTTTCTCAGACGATCTTATTTCAAGAATTCTACCACACCTATCATTGAAGATTTTTTTTACGGAGGAATTCGCAGTGGGATCCAGCGTTCTACGAATCGAGACCGGGAACATCGCTCACTTTGCCACTGGTTCTGTTACGATGGACGTGGACAGCACCAAAGTTCTATCTACGGCTTGCACCAATTTAGATCCCACATTTTCTTATATACGTGTATGTTAGATATCCTTCCCTCAATCATTATATGTAGAATCCTCTCAATAACTCTGACCTTCCATTTTAATTTGCTTTCTATAATGGATTCATGATGGTTTGTTGAAAAACGCTATACACTTTCAGGTTTTCTATCATGAAAATCAATACGCTCAAGATAGTCGAAAGCATCTAAACCCCAGGTATAAGCCCTCAACCAATCAAAATATAATACATCACCAACTTGAGGTATGATAGAGGGATAACTTTCTTCTCATCTTTAGCCATCACCAAACCAGCTAGTACACACACATATACAAATCTAATCAGGTCTACATCATCCCACTCATGAGCTTCCAAAAGATGCACATTCATCAGCTTCTTAATGCAAATCTTCTTCTTTCTCTTGAGTAATTTCCTCCAAAACCCTTTATCATCTTTCCAACTATCTAAATCATTGCTAAAATCTTCCTTGTACTTAAGGCTAGTCATTGCATGAAATTCTTGCAATGAAAACCGGAAAGACTTCCTCCCAAACAAAAACCAGAGATCATATTTCATTTTGGTTATCAAATGTCTACACATTATGTTGTGTATCATACGACCAGAATAGCCTACACCATTTTCATGTATGGCAAATACATGTGCAAAGAGAGGATCACTCTTCACTTTCTCTTACTCAATTGGCAAAGCATCCTTGATTCTTGTGAAGATAGACACTCTGAGTATATTGTTAATTTGCCTCACTTGAGGCTCATTACCATCTTTGAAAAAGCGCTTAGGATACACTTTTTTAAGAGTCAATTAGGTGCATACCAGTTTTTTTGAAAGTAATTAATCATATACTAAAGATATTTTTGTGTTTGCAAGACAAGAGAGAGAGAAAAAATAGATGACCAAAATACCCCTACATTAAAAGAGAAGAGGTTAGCGATGGAGACTGGGTTTCCTGCTTCGAGATTTAAGAAACTGCGACATTCCGTGATACACTTTGGAAGCCATGGCGTTATGATCGAAGTAGCAGAGAGAGGTGCGAGGACCTCATATGTTTAGACGCATCGTCGGAGAAAATCAGATCTTGAAGTATCGTCTTCTACCCAATAAGTTTTTGGGTGCAAACCCATACACAGAGACACATGATTCTCCGATCAATTTCTGGGAATAGGAAAAAGACCGAGTGAGAAAAATCAAATTACTCAATGGATTGAAAAGGATCTGAGTATGGAGAAAGGAAAACAAATAGAAACGATTTAGGGGATTTGAGAAAGAAAAAAAAATTGTAATACCAATTAAATGGAGAAGAATACCCAGAAAATCAATCATCTTTCTTTAATTCAAATTTTGAGAGATGAAGTAAGAGGGGAGATGGAGGAAGGGAGCACGGGAGAAGAAATGCACATAAAGGTTGAAGAAGAAGGGTATTTTCGTCATATTTAGGGGTAAATTATATTATCAAAATTTACTATATTGCCACTTCTGCTTTGACTCAATTACTTTCAAGTCAAATGGTATAGTGTGCAATTGCTCCTTTTTTAATGCATGCACATAAAAAGTAATTGTATATGTAAATCAAACAAAACATTCAGATTTATTAGAAAATATATTTAACAGCTCCCATTAGCAAAAATTAATTGTATACAAAAGTACATGTATTTATACTCTTACACCTTGATTTTTCTTTCATAAATAAGCTAAACTTCTGATGTAATATAGATCAAAAACCTAAAAATAGATTCAATTGTTACAAATAGATGAGAACATACTAGCTTTAACAAATACAAGTGATAAACAGACATAAAAACACAAAATTTAAATGATTGTGGTTTATCCACAAAACATAGATGACCTTAAGTTCTTAACTTTAAACTTTTAAGAGAAGAATCAAACTAGATATACAATCAAATTAAGCACTAAGACGCATTAGTGAAACTCTCAACACAATCAAACTCACAAAAAACGATATTACAAAGAAAGAACTATCAAATGATGATTCAGAAGTAAAAAATAATTAAAAATCTACATCATCCGATTAGTGAAAAACTCAACACAATAGAAGCTTTTAGACCATATTTATGGATGGTCTCTTAACACAACTCTTAAGTTAAGATATATGTCTTATAATTAACAAAAGTCAAGAGACTTTAAGAAACTTTTGTTAGTTATAAGATGTATCTCTTAACTTAAGAGTTGTCCTAAGAGACCATTGATAATTTTGCTCTAAATCTCATAATACAACATCTATCTCATTATCATCACACTGGCTACTGAGTTCATAAGTACTAAGAGATGTGCAAGCAAAAGCAGTATTGAAAGTAAGACAAAATTTCTAGATTTTGGCAACAAAGAGGACCGAAACAACAACTTTGTCAAACACATTCATGAAATTCTTCTTTTTTTTTTTTTTTTGTCAACAGCTTAAATAAAATAGATGCTCAAAAGAGCCATTCCTGGGGAATGTTGTTTACATAAGTGATATGATGCGGTTCGGTATGAATTTTTCGTGCCAAATTATCCGCTTTTACATTTGCGCTACGCGGAATTAAAGATAAAGAAAAATTAGAGAATTCTTCCTTGTCACTCTTCAAGTCTTCCAAGTACACTGAGAAGGCCGGCCATTCGGTTGGGGAAGACACCATCTTCACCAAATCTGAACAGTCTGTAAAGAAAGCTACATCTTGGTTGTCAGCACCAATCATACACTTCATCGCCCAGAGTAGAGCTTCGACTTCTGTATGTAGGGGGGATAGACTTCGCCGGATGTTTGCAGCTCCCATGGTTGGCATCTCTCCATTTGCCGATGTACAGTACCACCCTGTTCCGGAAAAAATATCAGTCTTTTTCCATGATCCATCCACGAAACACCGATGTCCGAAGTAACTGGAATCCAATGAAATCTCTCTCACGCGATTTTGAGTTACAGTATCTAAAGAACCTTGGATTTCAATATGTAGCTCAGATTGAGCAACCTGCCAAGCTTGTGCCTCTTTCTCCGCTAAATGTAGAACCTCTAATGGGTCTTTATCCACATTATCAAAAATCTTCTCGTTTCTTGCTTTCCAAATATACCAAATTATCCATGGAAATGAAGATGAATCAATCTCTGATGGAATTCTCCAGAAAAGATGATCCAAATTCGCGTAAATAGAAGCCGAGGGAAAAATCCCTGTAACCGAAGGGATTGTAGAAAGAGCCCAGATTTGTCTTGCAGGATGACATTCAAAAAGTGTGTGATTAATTGTTTCCTCCACAGCGCCACATCTAACACATCCGGTGTCACAATTTATACCTCTCTTTCTCAGATTCTCCGTAACAGGTACGCAACCTGATAATATTTGCCACAAAAAATGTCGTAGCTTTGGTGGACACTTCACCTTCCATGCATAAGCTTTCAGAGATTTGATATCTGGGCCAAAAAATTTAAGGTTGGCATCAGAAGTCTCTATCCGTGCGGTATGGTAACCCGATTTAACCGTATAATTTCCTGATTTTGTGAAGTGCCAACCAAGGGTATCCTCCTTAGTTGAGACACCCAAAGGCAAAGCACTAATCAGCGCGACATCCTCTGGATCAAAAAGCTCCGCCAAGAGATTCATATTCCAAAAGTTTGTCCGGCTGTCGATAAGTTGATTAACTTTTAAAGATGGATCAGTAATTGAACCATTACTTTTTGCTGGTCTCGGGAATTGAGCTGGTATCCATGAGTCCTCCCATACTGAGATGGACGCCCCAGAACCAACTCTTTTAATAAGTCCTTTAAGAACCAGAGATCTAGCTGACATTATACTTCTCCAACCATAAGAAGGAGAGTACGATTTTATATTATCCAATGGATTGGATTTCCGGAAATACCGTCCTTTAAATACCCGTGCAAATAGTGACTCAGGAGCCATAATCAAACGCCATAATTGTTTAGCCAGTAACGCTGAATTAAAATCATCCACGTTCCGAAATCCTACCCCACCTTCCGATTTACTACTACAAAGTTTATCCCAAGCCATCCAATGCATTCCCCTCGATTCACCGTTTGAGCTCCACCAAAATTTTGCGACCGCACTCGTAAGTTTAGAAGTTATTGATTTTGGTAGTCTGAAGCATGACATAACATATGTTGGTAATGCCGCAGCTACCGATTTAATCATAACTTCTTTTCCGCCTTTCGATAAAAACTTAGCCGACCAACCATTTATCCTAACCTGAAGTCTATCTCGAACAAAGGAGAAAATCTTTGTCTTAGATCCACCAAGGCTTTCCGGTAGACCAAGATAAGATCCCATGCCACCAAGATTGTGGATACCCAGAGCCGCTTTTATTTCTTCCTTAATAGACTCATCAACTTTGTAGCCAAACTGAAGAGATGATTTTGAAAAATTAATTTATTGCCCTGAAACCGCTTCATATTGTTTTAGAATTCCCAAAATTACCCCGCATTGTTCTTTATTGGCTTTGCAAAAGAACAAACTATCATCAGCAAATAAGAGATGAGATACCGACGGGCTAGCTGTGGATACCTTGATACCTGTAATCAAGTTTTCACGTTCCGCTTTCATGAAATTCTTCCTTAATCAACAAAGTCACACACACATATATATAAACTTACATGAATCATAGAGCTAAACGACTTAATAAATCAACATGCAATTAAAATTGAGACTTCTCAATCTCACGAAATTGAGACATCTAAAGGAATCACACGAATACCAAATTTGTATTTAGCATCATATTTTAGATTGATGTTTTTTTTTTTTTGGTGAATTATTTTAGATTGATGTTAATTAGTAAGAAATTTACCATCAAGCAATAACAGTGGGCCTTATTAATATAGGCCCAATTCAAGTATGTATTGACGAAATCCACGGCGAAAGAGAGAGCGAGAGGGACGATGAGCAACAGAAGAAGAACCGGAGACGATGACAAAGGACTGCTCTGGAAACTTCCCCAAGTAAGGATCAACGACATCGGAAAAGTTGGTCCGGCCTTTGGACTCGGTTTCGGTTGCGGATTCGGTTTCGGCGCCGGTCTTATCGGAGGTAAATTTCTAATTCCTCCCAATTTTAATCGCCGAGAGACTCGCGAATCGCTCGAAGCTATTTTTAGACAGTTTATTGTGATTGATTGATGAAACAGGTGTCGGATTCGGACCAGGAGTTCCTGGATTGCAATTTGGTCTTGGTTTTGGAGCTGGTTGTGGAATTGGTGTAGGATTTGGCTATGGTGTTGGAAGAGGAGCTGCTTATGATCACTCTCGTTCTTATTACAACGTTGGAAAACCATCTCTGTGAGTATTTATTTGTCTGCAGTTAGATTTCTAGTTTATTTGAGATTGAAGAAGAGGATTTTGAATTGGTGATTTGTTGACAGGAATGAAGTTGATTCACTAATTGATGAACTTGTTGTTAGCACCAAGAAGCTTGTGAAAGCTACGACGAATGAAATCGACAAGTGGATAAAATGATGAACTTAAGCAATTTTTAGCTTTTGTTGAAGCTTTCACTGAGTAAATGGTAGTGTTTAGTTTGTTCTTTGATCAAGAATGTAGACCTGGGGCTAGTGAAATCTCGTTTTTTGTACAATTTTACTTATGGTATAAAGATGGATTTGCATAATTTTCATGGCAGATTTATCATCCTAGTGCTGATTTTTGGTGCTATGAATTGTTGTTTACATATGGCATAAAGACTGGATTCAAATATTTTACATCGCAGATTTATCGTTGTAGTGCTGATTTTTGATGCTATGAAGGGTGAGTTTTAGATTTTGCCTAACTCAATATAAAGAGTTAGAATGTGCGTATAGTGGTTCAGTGATCTCAGCTCTAGGGCCAAGGGCATAGATTCATTATAGCTCTTTCGATTCTACCGTAATACCGTGTGTGAACACTTCAATAGAATCAGTTGATCCAATTCTCGTGTCTTCTATGTACATGATCCTGCGGCTCAATCGCTTCAGTTTTGATTCACATGATTTACATGTTATAGACTTGTGGGAAAACTCCTTGCAGAAAGGAGTATGTTTTCTCTTTTCTGGGACTAGTGGGATGATTCGGTGAAATCTAGATATCAGATGCTAAACCAAATTCTTGTTCTCTTTTGGTGTAGAGAGTATGATCACAACTGTTGATCCCATACGAAAATCTAACCGTCGAGCTTGGGCGTTTTACGTCTATACGCAAATTCCGGTTGCCGTCAACATTATGGTAATAAACAGGACCATAATGATTCCAAATGTCCTAAGGATTTTACTGAAAACCCCAACTAAGACTGTAAGAGAGGCTTGTGGATGACATTTAACAGTTGAGATTTCATATGTTTGAGATTCTTGTAACACATTTTGCAATATAGGTGAAAGCTTAGCCACACAAAAGGAGAAACAGAGGATATGGATAAAATAAATTATCCAACAAAAACCAATCTAAAAGCCACATCAGCATCAACAGCCAATCAGAGAACAGAATCATATTTCACATTTTCAATTCAGACCAATCAAAATCCTGAACGAATCCTACTCTCCACCTTATAGCAGCAGTTTCGTCTCTTCCTCCTCCTTTCACTTAGCTCTTCCTAGTGTTAAACCAGAGTAAAGCTTGAAAGTTGAAACTTTGGGCTAAAAGAATGGCGTCTTTGGGTGTGTCGGAAATGCTTGGTACTCCTCTTAACTTCAGGGCAGTTTCAAGATCGTCTGCTCCGTTGGCATCAAGCCCGGCCACGTTCAAGACTGTTGCTCTGTTCTCTAAGAAAAAGCCAGCTCCTGCTAAGTCCAAGGCTGTCTCCGAGACTAGCGACGAGCTCGCCAAGTGGTATGGTATGTGTCTTCTACTTCTCTTTTCACAATCATATTTGCTCTGTTTCTCTATGAATGTGTTTGTAATTGTGGCTCTTATACAGGTCCTGACAGGAGAATTTTCTTGCCTGATGGTCTTTTGGACAGATCAGAGATCCCAGAGTACTTAAACGGTGAAGTTGCTGGAGAGTAAGACACTTCTTCATGTCTCTCTTTGAATGCTTAGTTTTGGTTTCTGTGCTTAAGGTTTATTGGTCTGAATCTGAAATTGCAGTTATGGTTATGACCCATTTGGTCTTGGAAAGAAGCCTGAGAACTTTGCTAAGTAAGCAGATTCTTTTTTATCATAAACCTTTTTTTGTTTGCTTCGAACTCTATCTATCGAATTCGGTGTTAAGATTGGTTCTTTAATGAATGTGGTTGTAGATACCAAGCCTTTGAATTGATCCACGCCAGATGGGCTATGTTAGGAGCAGCTGGTTTCATCATCCCTGAAGCTTTAAACAAATACGGCGCTAACTGTGGCCCTGAAGCTGTCTGGTTTAAGGTTCTTGCCTACTTCTAATCTTTATGAACATATAGATTCTATAGCAAAGCAAGTATGTGTGAAGTGATGAGATGGATCTTATTGGAATACTGATGCAGACTGGTGCTTTGCTTCTTGATGGAAACACATTGAACTACTTTGGCAAGAACATCCCAATCAACCTTGTTCTCGCCGTCGTTGCTGAAGTTGTTCTCCTCGGTGGAGCCGAGTATTACAGAATCACCAACGAATTGGTACATTACTCTCTATATTTCAGTTATTTTATATTCAAGTTCCTCATGTGAAGAGGACTAATCTTGAACATGAAAACAAAATGGTCAGGATTTTGAGGACAAGCTACACCCTGGAGGTCCATTTGATCCTCTAGGACTCGCTAAGGACCCTGAGCAGGGAGCTCTTCTCAAGGTCAAAGAGATCAAGAACGGGAGACTAGCCATGTTTGCAATGCTCGGTTTCTTCATCCAAGCTTATGTGACCGGAGAAGGTCCAGTTGAGAACCTTGCAAAGCATCTCAGTGATCCTTTTGGAAACAACTTGCTTACCGTCATCGCTGGAACTGCCGAGAGAGCTCCCACTCTCTAAGCCATTTCTACTTTTTAAGAGCTTCCAAAATGTACACTTTGTTCGATTGGAACTCCTTTTGACAATGTTAAAAAACTTCCATCTGAATCTTCTTGATATATTTCAATGGTGCTTTATCAATGCTTCTAAGGATATACATAGTCACCCATTGGTTTTATATTTGGTCATTTGTTGTTACCAAGAAAGTTCTGTCACAATTTAGTCACACATTGCAATTTTATCATTAGTGGGGTTTCGAGTGTAGGGTTAAAAACTGTCACAATAGTCAAATATTGTGACGGAATTTGGGAGAATAAGTTAGTTAACAACATTAAATAGCATATGAAACTCTTACAAATTTATCACAACTAGACATTTAGGGGGTGTTATTGGTTCCTAATTTCCAAGGAATTTTGATGACTTTAATCAAATCCTACAAAGTCAATAAATAAAAGATTCTAAACTATTGATAGAGAGTTTTTTATAATCTTGTTGATTAGTTTTTCATAATCTTGTAAAGTTTCTCAAACAATCTCTCTATTTTGATAATACTTTTCATTACTTTCTATGATTTTATTTTGTGAAGAAAAGTGTACAAAGTCATGAACCAATAACAAAATAATTTAATTCATTAACAGTCAGAGATTCTTTTGTTTTAATTGAATAACACAAAATTTTTACTGACTTTATAAGAGTATGAATCTAATAACCCCAAATTTACGATGATTTTAGATTACTTTTTACAAATCTTAAATGAATAACACAAAACTTTAACATACTTTTAAAAAATCTTGATTGAATAACAACATATTCTACATGACTCTTTAAGTCACTAAAACTCTTTTGAAATCATAAACCAATAACACCCCCTTACTAATGTCAAAAGACCCATCAAGCAAAATGTCGCAACACTCGGCCTTTCCCCAAATCTCTCCTCCCTCATGTCTTTCCAGTGTAATCTTCGCACACCATATTTCTCTTTTCTTAATAAAACCATCTTCCACCAAAGAGAAGTATCAACTATCTACCGCATCTAACAATGCAAACCTGAAACTCTTGAAGGGAAAGTTTTCGAGACCCTTCACCATATTAGAACACTCATAAAAAAACCAAGAATATGAGTTTATGACATTGGTGAAGCCCAACACAAGCCCATGTAATCAGGTTATCTAACCAAGTCTTTTATAGACTTACTAGATCATGACCCGCACGTACGTGCGGGGTTTCATGTTTTAAAAAATTTCTAACAAATTTTAATTCAGTATTGATTATTTTGTTATTTTTAACTTTTTATGTTATATATTTTAGTGTATTAGATCTGGATTCACGTACATGTAGAGATATTTTTATAGAAATTGTTATATAGATTTTAAAAATATAAAATATTTTGTTGTGTTAGTGAACTTCGTAATAGTATAAATATTATAAAGTTAGAGTAATGAACAAAATTCAGTTGCGTTAATGCATAATTATATTTTAAGATCCGGACTAATTTAGTTACAAAAGTTAAATGGTGTTACATTTTTATTTTCTTAACTAATCAAAACAGTTCTAACAGTTTGATTAAATATGTTAAATATGATATGAATTCGGTTTTAGTTTGGGTTATTTCATGTATATTAGCTAGGCGTAACTATTTTGGAACATAAAAATATCCCGTCCGGTATCTGTCATAAATTCTTTGTCCTATAACCTGTCACGTATACGTAAAATAAAAATATTATGGTCTCATATATGTCATAAATAGAGTATGTGTAACTGAAAACGTATGTACATGGTTATGTGTGTAAACAAATTTATTTTATATAGTGCTCAAAACCCGAACTCATGCCAGTTGGGTATTTAGTTTGATTTTTAATATATGTTCCCCTCCCATCTCGTCTCGTAATTTCTATTTCCATTTTATTCCATTAAAATCATATTCCAAATTTTTGTTTGCTTACCTTTAATTACCATACAATATTACAAAATATATTGTGAGTTTTGCGGATTAATATGTATGCTGTTAAAGTTACAAATATATTATAACAAATTTATTAATGTTTCTAGCTAAATTTTGCATATTTTTCTTTTCATTGTTTAATCATAATTAATTCGATTTTTGGAACTAAAATTAAAATTTGAGATACATAAAAGGGATAGATGACAAAAAAAAAAAATCTATAAAAGAGATATGCTATTGCTGTATAATTTGTTTTGAATGCAAAATATATAATTAGTTCACATTATTTCGAAAACTGTGTGCAATATATTATGGATTTGTTTAAGGAAGATCCGGTTGAGAAAAAAAAAACACAAAATATTTCGAAATTAATATGTACAATCTTTTGTTTAGATATTTCCGAAACTTGCTATAAACGAATGCCATAATGATTATTACTTTAAATTTATCATTATTTGAGTTTATTTCATAGTAAATATAAATATTTGTTAATATCTAATATCGTTTTTTTAGAAATTGTGAAATAAAATTTTTTTTTTTATTTCAAAATTTGTGAAAATATTATAACAAAACTGAGTCTTAAATATTTGTATTTATTTTTTTTCTGAAATTTCAAATTCAATATTAAAATACTCCATTGATAAAACTTTTTAAACGATAGTGTTTTTAATTTTGAATTAAAATGGTATTATTTTTCTTTTTATTTTTGATATAGAATAGTTTATTAGGATTGGTTTAGATAAAATTTTAGTTGGATATCAAATCTTAGTTTTTCAATTCTCATTGGTTAACAACTTTTTAGAAAAAAAAATTAAATTTTCGTCCATAATTAATATGAGAGAGAAAGTGAGTTTAATTTTTTGGAAACTAATAATTACTTTAAAGAATTATACTATTTTTTATTTAAATATATTATTTTGTGATTATTATTGTATCTTTAATGAATTTATTTTAAAACAAAAACTAATGGCATTTTTGTAATACTTTACACTTTATAAGGTTATTTATGTTTGAGTGCTTCCCAATTAATAGTATAGATATATAGTTATATAATGAGAACAATGTTAGTAACATAGAGAGTCGTCAAAGAGGAGTGAACCCAAGTATTCATCCCTCTTTTTTAAACCGATCAGAATCTGTCACCTAATAAAAAAAATCATTTAATTGTAAAATCTAATTTGTCACCAAACCGAAGTTATATATCGGTTTGGGTTAATTAGGAAGGGTTAGAGTTTAAATTTTATAATTAAACGAGGTTAAATATCGGTTTGGGTTTATAAAAGAAGATTAGGGTGTAGAAATTATAATTAGAAATGATTAAATATCGATTTGAGTTTGTAAACGAATTTAGATTTTACAATGAAACGAGGTTAAATGTCGGTTTGGGTTTATAAAAAAAGAATTAAGGCTTAAATTTTGTAATTGGATGAGAATATATGTCGGTTTGGGTTTATAAAAGAGTGACTAAGGATTAGATTTTACATTTAAATGATTTTTTTTAATTAGGTGGCAGATTATGATTGGTTAGAATAAGAGGAGCTGAACTAAAGAGTTCTTTTTATATGGATAATATTAATTTTTTTTTTGTCAACCACACATTAATTAAAAAGAAACTCCTAGATTGGTTGCCCAATTAGGAGAAATAGTGTCTACAAAAGACACTTCAGAAAATAAAAGTCTAGATGAACGGGCTAAACAGTCCGCTTTAACATTAGATAAACAAGAAATAAGGGAAAGTGAGAATAATATTAATTTTTATATTGTTTGTTTTTATTAACTGACAGATTCTGATTGGTTAGAATAAAAGAGAGTGAATAAAAAGGTTCATCTCTAGGAATGAACTCAAAAATTTTCCAAATTAGTTTTTCAAATTAAATGGAAACCGTTAAGCAAAAACTAGTTTCCAACAAATTCAGGGAGATACACAGTAAAGTCAGGCTATCGGCTTGCTCGAGGGATGGCAGAAATGATTGAATGGGGCCCACATAGTAAAATTTTACAAGCACAAGCTTGGAAAGTCAAAGCTCCTCCAAAAATAAAACATTTCTTATGGAAAATTGATGCGGGATCCTTAGCAGTTACTTCAAAATTAGCACATCGAGGGATTCGTTGTGATATTACCTGTAAAAGATGTGAGATTGCAGGGAAAACAATAAAGCATGCTTTATTTGAGTGCTCACATTAGGCCTGGGCATAAAATCCGAAATCCGAAAACCGATCCGAAACCGATCCGAAAAATCCGGCTCCGAATCCGAACCGAATAGTCACAAAACCCGAATGGATAATGAATTCTCCTATCCGAATTATCCGAACCGAACCCGATCCGAACCGAAAACCGAATGGATATCCGAAAACCGAAAATAAAATTATAAATCCAAAAATATTAGTTATATTTAGGTATACTTTTATAACAAATAACAAAAATATCCAAAATAATCTAGATATAGGAAAGTTTTTAGTTATATTTGTTAAAATTATACATATTTTTGGAAAACTTAGCCAAATTTTAGTAAGATTAAACTATTTTTTATTTAAATTGAACATTTTTTTAGTTTATTTTTACTCGAAAAACAATCCGAAACCGATCCGAATCCGACACTATCCGAACCGAACCCGATCCGAATAGTCATAAAATCCGAACGGATAATAAAATCTCCAATCCGAATTATCCGAATCCGAATAAATCCGAACCGAATCCGATCCGAAATCCGAATGCCCAGGCCTAGCTCACATTCAAAAAATTTGGTAATTATCCGAAATACCTATGGTAACAGGTAGCTTTCCACTCAGTTCGGATTTTCGAATCTAGACTATACCTTTATTGGAGGCTACCACCTCCTATGGATGGGGAGGAGAAAACTTACTGTTATGCTTAGATTTTGTGGTTTATATGGAAAGATAGGAATAGAAAGGTTTTCAAATCAAAGGAATACAATTTGAACCCACTGACATTTTAAATCACGCATTGAGTGAAAAATTAATGTGGGAAGAAGCTCAGGTGGAACCGATGGAATATAGTACTATTACAGAAATTTTAGAAAGCCCAATTCAATCTATAAGATGTCGGATTGATGGCTCTTGGAAATTCTAGGATCCAACTATGGGTTTAGGATGGTGGTGTTTTCAAAGAATAGATCAAACGTTGCTGCTTGTTGCAAAGTGCCTTCGAAGATGTCTCCCCCCCCCCCCCCCCTCTCTTTACTCAGAGATGGAAGCTTTAATTTGGGCTATGAAGAACGTCCTTTTAAGTAGGATTGATTGTCAGGCGTTTGAAACTGGTTGTTCTGAGTTAGTCTCGATGGTATAGTCACCTGAAGATTGGCCCGCTTTCGCCAATCTGCTAGATGTTTTTGAATTGCTACGTGTCTCCTTTCCCTTCTTCTCACTTTATCTTATTTCTCGGTTATGTAATGTTAAGGCGGACTGCTTAACCCGTTCTTCTAGACTTTTATTTGCTGATGTTATTTTTGTAAACTCTTTTCCTCTTAATTGGACAACCAATTGTGAAGTTATCTTTTAATGAATGTGTGGTTGACGAAAAAGAAAAAAAAAAACTGGATTCCAACTTTCCCTAGTTAGGAAACCAAAAAAACGTAAACACTTACTTGGAAAATATGATTGGATTTTTGGATTATAAAATCCAATTAGTAAACTAAACTATGTTTAACTAACATGAAAATTGAAGAGTTTTAAAGATTACTCATGCGTAAGTCCCTCACTTTACGAACTCATTCTACAACGTATCCTTTACAGATATATATGTCCAGAAGTAAAGACAAAGAACTATAATATCTAAGTGAAGGATGAATGAAGGCATGGAAGCAATAACTTGTGGTCGACGAGCTTGAGATGTACGGACAAAGACAGAGGTGGTAAGAGAGATTCAAACAAAGAAAGAGTTGGGGTTTGACATGGCCATACAAGCTTTTAGAGTTTGACTCTATATGTGAAAGTGAAATTTTTAAAACTTAAAATATGAAAGTGTAGAAGCAAATTCAGGAACAATTCGCTGTTTGGATCAGAAAGCTGTAGAACACATCAAGATTCTATAAGCTGAAGTGGATGCGGAAGCTGACGTGACAAAACTAGAGACATGATATGACATGTCAAAGACGCGGGAGCTAACTTAACGTGGAGTTTGAAGATGGGAGTTGTTGTAAAGATTCACTAAATATTATCGACAACAAATAATTAAGGAAAATATAACATTGATGAACAAGGTTTATCCATTAGTGCAGATTTACGATTTTATTAGGATTAGGGTTTTCATGTGGCGTATATATAGTCTAGAGAAGCCATGAGCGTTCGCTAACACTCTAGACTATTGTGGTGATATTTGTAAACTTCAAAGCTAAAAGAATAAGGCTTAGAAGGTGAGTGTTCGATTAACTCATTTTGTGTTTCATGGTTGGGTGAATAAGATCAAAGTAGAGTTAGGCTTAGACGTGTTCTTAACCGGATTTTATCTATTTGGTATAATATGTTAAGTAACTTCACAAATAAACCGGGCCTTGTGGCCTAGTGGTAAAGGGGTCACAGCTGTGACTTCCGCCACCAGGGTTCGAGGCACGGCCACTGGCAGGTTTACATAGGGGAATTGCCAGTCTCGTGGGATTAGTCTTTGGGCCTAGGAAGCCTTTGGGAGACCCGCGGTTATTCAAAAAAAAAAAAAAAAAAAAAAAAAAACTTCGCAAATAAATATATCCTTGTTAAAGATCATCTTATTATTAAGAACAAGTATACAAGCGGTGGCCTTGGCGTTTTCCAAGTTAGAACTTAATTTGTTGTGTTTATTGTCCTCTGTACCGTATCAGAATGTACGGGAAAGTGAATGTGAAATGAAAGTGAAAACCAATCACAATGTTGGAAGAATGAGGATAAACATAAAGGCTAGGGAAAGAAATAACCTAATTTTATTCATTAAGTTGTCAAAACAATCCATTAAAACATTTTCAAATTCTGAAATGGTAATAAAAAACCCAAAATAGTATGTGGGGATCCTCAGATTTTGTGAGATTTGATTATCCTATATATACTTAATTTGAGGCATTGAATGTTTAAATTTACATATTTGGATTCTCGCATCCTTATCTCTTATCCTTAGCTTTTCTTATATAAGACCACAAGTGCATGACTCTCTTTTAGCACCACAAAGAAACATAAAACAAACCCAAGTGAGAAATAATAAGTGAGAGCCATGAGAAAGGTGAAACTTGCTTGGGTCTGGAATCAAAACTCCGAAAAGCCAATTTCGTGAAGACGCTGAAGGGGCTTGTGAAAAAACTTGTGAACTAACCATATTAGTCACTCATCTCACTTATTTTCTTCATGATTGAAAAAGATCAACCAAGCACATGTCACATAGAATGGTTACTTCATATGTTTTTTTTATAAGCCCCTTTAGCGTCATCTTCTTGAGAGTTGCTTTCTGGCTTTTTTTATTCCAAATCCAAGCACGTTTAACCCTTTCTTTTGCCGCGACCTTTACAAAATATCCAAATCTTGTACAATTGAATTGAATATTTGTTGACGTTGAAGTCAGTTTGTTAGTCTACTTGAACATTTTCTAATTTTAAAACTTGGTTAGTTTTTCCAAGTTTATATAGTCTTATTAATATGTTTTGATGTAGTGGTAAACTTGTACGTTTGTTTTTCTTTATTTGCGTTGATATTAAATTAATCTCGTTTATTTGAGCATTTAAAAAAAAAAATGAGAATTCTCAGTAGGTATAAAATTGAACTAAAACATTTTGACTAGTAACCAACTAACCATTTTTAAAGATCAAAAGGGAATGTACAAAATAAAACGGAGGAATGGAATAGGAAAATATTTGACGAATGATGATAGAAAATGCAAAAAAAAAGTAAAATATATCTTTCTCATGAATTGTAACCAAACGATGAATGAAATTTCTGTTTTTTTTTTCCGACTTTTGTATAATTTTGTTAATATGTTTTAATATATTGGTGAACTTGTACGTTCGTTTTTCTTTATTCACATTAAAATTAAATTATCCTCTGGTAATTTGGTTTTCATACAAGAATCCTTCGAAAAATTATTTAATATCAATATAATTTTTTTTAAAAAAACATACGATTTGACAAGAAATTCATCTCGAAATGAATCTCATTGAAAATTATATTTAAATATATGAATATATAACATATATATATAATGAATAAATAATATTTTATTTATTTATATTTTCTTAGATTTTGATTTTCAACAATTTTAGAAAAGAACATTTTTGTTCTATTGTTTCTCATTTGATGAGGAATTTAAACGGAAGGTGAGGATAAAAAAGTTAATCTTTAACGGTAAAGAAATTGAAGAATAAAGAGAAACAACACATTTCTCCTCACATTTTTCTTAAAATATGGTTATCAATTAAAACTTAAGAGGTTGAGAGAGTTTTTTAAAATAGTAGATAGTAGATGAAGTAATATGGTTAATAGAGGATCTAACAATTATGATATTTGAAATCTTACACAAATATGAGATGGAACTATTCTCATTTAACTTTTACTTTCGATATAAACCTATACTAATATGCCAACAATATGTTTAGCTAGGTGTTAACCATGGAAATACTCTCTTTGGCTATTAGATATAAATTTTTTATGCCATTATCACTAAATATGATTGTCACAAGGTTTTGTGACATTTTCGAGACGAATTTTGATTTGCTATGTATATGTTATGAATAAACAAAATTCAACCTAAATATGTCAAAAAAAATAATCATCATGATTCATGACTCAAAATAAGCTCAAGTTCTAGCTTGTAGCAATTTATTTGCATTGCATTGCAAAACCAAAAGAAAATAGCGATATATGAGTAGAATGAAGTTATGCACTAATCAGTATTTTTATTATTCATTCCAACAGTAGATATAATATTTGGGTTTTGTGAAGCAATTTGCTTCCAACAAATAAATAAAACACGACTCAAGAACACACACACATACACACACAAATCAGCACTTATATTGTCTTAGACTCATAAGACAGAAATATAAACATCTATTTAGAATAACCCCAGAAATCCATCTCACTGCGCAACGTAAGCTGGTTCGTCGCAGGAACTGGCTGGACAACAGACGAAGAATTGTTGTTACCATCCTCATACCTAATCCCTCTAGAGGAATCTTCATTTCCCATGTGACAAGTCACAAGTCTATCCATCATTGCCCATTCACCTAAACCTTGTTGATGATTATCATGACTAGCCACTGTCTCACAAGTACCGACCTCTAAACCCGGCTCACACGCTTGCTGGTATTGTAACCCTTCACTAGCCGCACTCTCACAGTCCCTTGCAAGACCTGAAGAGTAGTCAAATCCAAGTGAAGGTGGCTTGTGGAAGATTGGTGGGTATTGATGAAGAGCAAGGTCAGGTTTGTTGAGTTCAAATGTTGTGGCTCCGTGGTTACGTACTAGCTGGTATGGACTGTCTCGGTGCATAAAGCTACGAGCTTGAAGTGTGTGGTTGTTGTTGGATGCATCATGGTTGTGTTGGTCCGATGAGTTAATGCTTGTGCCACCTTCATTTACTACCTTGAACAAATTTTTCTTCATGAACACTCTACATACCACCCATCCATCTTCCTACAAGATCGTATAAAATATGTTGCAAATGGATTAAATTTCTTTAAAATTGATGGACCAGCTTCCTAACCAATTAATTGAATTTAACGCATCATGATTTACAATGCAATCTCATGCTATTTTAAGGCTCTGTCCAAATTTTAAATCGGAAAATTGTTGTAAGAATATTTTACTAATTAAAAAACTTATTTATCATATACATATTTTTTTAAAAAATAGTTCTTCCGTTTTTTTTTGTTTCATGTTTAAGGTTTTTACACACCGATTAAAAATTTATGTAATTTTTTTGTTTATTTTTAAATGAAAACATCATTTATCATCTACCTAAACATGATTCATCCAATAGTAAAACCATATACAAAATATAAATCATCAAAACTAATAAAAACTAATTAATTTTGCATTGAAAATTAAAAACATCATCTAATTTTAAAATAACAATTCTCCTAAAACATAAAATGGATGGAGTATTAAAAAACATAGTATGGAAGTCACAGATTCTGTGCAATTGCACTGTTTGAATAAGGACAATGATATATATAATAATTTAAATACTGCTCAAATAAAAGACATACACTAGGGTTGGCTTGAGGATCATCAGCGTCTTCAAGACGGTACTCATGCATGATCCAATCAGTCTTTTGGCCATGAGGAGCTCTTCCTTTGTAGAACACAAGTGTCTTCCTCATTCCTATCTTCTTGTAAGAGTTCCTTATGCACTTGTCACGTCCCGTCGCCTTCCAGAACCCTGCGTGAGTAGCACGGTTGGTCCTTGACCCTGTCGGATATTTCCTGTCCTTGTGGCTGAAGAAATACCATTCGTTCTGCGGTGTTGACCCTATCTTGCATCTCTCTGCCAAAGAAAAAAAGATAACATACAAATTAGAGAATTGGATAACAATGACTGTTCGTGTATATATATCTAATAATCAAGAAGTGGAGAAGAATAGAACTATCAAGATCTCAAAAAATGATATCAATTAATAACAAGAAATGATATTGTGATTTGTTATTGATTAATGAGTTGAATAAGTAAAAGAGTACCTTGCAAATCCCAAGGCTCAAGCTTGTTTAAGTCAACCTCTCTGATGACTTCCATCTCAAACTTTTGGTAAGAGATTTTCTTCTTCAAATAGTAATGGAGAAGCTCTTCGTCCGTCGGATGAAACCGAAAACCAGGTGGCACTCCTCCGTTCGACGACGAACCCATTTCGATTTACGTTTTCCTTCTCTTGTCTCCAATTAAAGACAGCTTCTTAAAACATTTAACCACTGCCTTTCTTTCTAAGCAGCTACAAGTTCTTGATATATATTTATATACACACTCACACGTAATTGTCAACGGAGTTAATTAAATGGGTACATAAATGTACGATGATGATGCAAGTTGATGATGCATTATGATGGTGAAGTTGACGGCCGGTGACCACGCCGCCGGAGATGCTCAAAAAGCTATCGTAAAAAGCAAGACTCGCCGGAAATTAATATGACTTTTATTTTATATAGTGTCTCTACACGCCTAATGTTGCATTGTGTGGTACACTTGCGTAAAATCGACTGCTCCATGTGTCTCTACGCCATGTTGACTTATACATACATTTATGAACGATCCCGAGACAAAGTTTAAACACTAAATTACATTAGTATTAAATTTTTGATTGCTCCGTAAGCAAGGGTTTTGTTTTGGAGAAGGAAATTGTTTGAGAAAAAAAGACCCATATATGGATATGGGGATCAACCGGGTGCTTGTCTCCTGGTGGTATAGGAACCTCGGCTGAGGCATCCGCCACCCGGCTTCGAGTCCCGGCCACTGCGCAATTTACCTGCGGGGCGCAGCGCCCCAGACCACCAGTTCCAGGGGGCCCTTAAGTGGAGGCTTAAAAATCCCAGAGCTCGGGCTTAGGCCCAGTGGGCTAGTCGGATCACTGTGTGGTCTGGACACTGGGTTATCAAAAAAAAAAAGGATATGGGGATCTTCAACACGGTCCATGTTTATGTATACACTAAGTTATCAATTAAGAGGAACAATATACAGAGAGATATGAAATTAAATAGAATGAATCATGAAGAGTCATTATATGAATATATGATGCATTGGCCAATGGCCATGGTTAGGGCTTTTTTTCCGCCCATGTGGGTTATCTATGACCTCCGATTCTTTCCTATTTATTTCGTTTCTGTAACTTTTAAGCTTCCTATCTGTTTTGTTAACTTGACCCATTGATTCAAGCAAGCAATAAACACATACATATTTATATATGGGTAAGATATTGTATATCAAATCGGTGATAAAAAAAAAGAAGCTTAATTATATTAAAAGAGATGTTGTATATTTTGAACATTGTCAAGAATCAATCATTTATTTACTTCAACTATCACTGAAATTATATGTAGAAAGTGTCTAATTACCCTTAGAAAGGGTAATCTTGGAACTAAAATAATTGAAATCAAAGTCAATTTCAATTTGATTTAAGGAAATATAAATTATTTCCTTTAATTAGTTTAGAGGTTTTTCAAAGATTTTCTTAAAAACTCTCCTCTCCCCTCATCAATGAAATTGGTTTTATCTAAAAAATCTATATTTTTATATATTACTAAGTAAGATTCCGTGTCATGCACGTGTGTTATTTAATTTTACGAGAGAACGATTTAAAAAAAAAAACTCAAAATTTTTATATTGAATCTTGAGATGTCAAAACTAAATTTGTAAATGCGCTAAAATATTTTAAATTAAAATAATAATATATATATATATAAATATCATGTAATAACACAACCTTTTAGTGTATAAATAAATTTACAAATTAAATTTCAAATATTTTAACGATTTATACATACAGATGAAATTGCATTTACGTCATTCATAAATTTAGACGTATAGATTTGCGGTTTTAAGTTAATTTTTATAATATGTAAAAGAATTTGTTGATGTTAAAATGCATATACTATATGTTTATATTGTTTAGTTTTCAAATGAAAAACACAATGCATTTATAAAAAATATTTCTATAGAAGTTTTCTTATTTGAAAATTCAAGATATTTAATTTTGGTAAGTTTAGTTAATAAAAATAATTAGTGTATAGAATTAAAAGTGTTTGGCAAGATGGTTAGTAAAATTAAATAAATGATAAAAAAAAAAAAAAGATGAGAATAATTATGGACTTGACACATAAGCACCAAAATTCTTTTTTAATGTATAGAGGATATGAACTATGTATTGATTTAATTATTTTTAAAATATGATCAAACAAATATACCTTCATTTAATTTAAATTTTTTAAAATTTTGGTTAAACTCTGGTAGCGATCCGACATGGCGACATAGAATATTAGACGGAAAAGCTTGGCAGAGTTTGTGAAGAATTCACTACGAAAAGATTATCTTCAATCACTATTTTGCACAACTCCCTAGGCAAAAGGATAGCCTACATCTTTATGATCCACAGACTATAAGTTTTCCCATCACACACCAGAATTACATGCAAGTTCTACTTTCTACTTAGCTACAAGCCTTAAGCCTACAAGTATGAGTCTTAGGTTTACCTGTTTAGTTGTGATCACTCTGACTCATTTTGTGCCTTTGATTTCTTTTCACTATTGTAGGTCACCGAGAACTATTAGCTCTGACACCACGAAGGATTTTGCTCGCCCTCTTAGCTTAACCTTTTTTCCTTAGCTTTACCTTGATTCATTACATCCATATTTATACTATTTCTTACCTTTTAACCTACTTGGTTCCTCCATTATTATACTTAGAATCACACATTCAAACTACACAAAAGATTCTCACTTAGATAGTGAACCTTCAATAACACAACATGATAGCCCATTGGCCTTTTTCCTCTTTCTTTTTCTTTGTCTAATTAATATTAGGAGTCCCTTCAGGGATATCCGATTAAAACAAATTAATATCGGGAATTTTCCATTTTGGAAATTCTATTTTTCATTTTCTAATATTGAATATGTGACCAAGAATATTAGAAAGAATTATATTTTTATAATAATAATTTTTTGTTGTTTAAACCGAAAATAGTGGTTATAATCACAAGGATTGTGTTATTTTTTTATTTTTTTTAGTATCAGAAATAAATAAAAATTCTTTTTTAGAATATTTTTTGGTCAATGCCGGTCAACGCCTGATTCCGATGGACATGGTGCCGGATCAATATAATCGTGGTGTTGACCACATGTCGTCGTATAGTTGGTATATGTGGGCATGCAATGTATTTAGTTCGTGTAGTTGACTATACACTAGGTGCACAAAACAAATGCCAAAAAGAACATGATAAAAGAGATGGTCCAATCGAATTCGGCTTATTGGGTCATAGTGGGCTCGGAAGACAATGGCCCGTAATCCTTCCACCGTCAAGAGCGGGAGGTAGGTGCTGCTCTGTGAAACCAGCCTCAAGCGGTCTCCCCCACTCTAGAAGACATGAGACCCGAGCCTTCGCTCAAACCCCATACCTCAACTCCCAACTTGGAATGGGCGGGCCAGAATATAGCACAACCCGAACCCGGCCCAATGAGATCGACCCAACGTCCCATCAACTTATTGTCTCCACTTAGATCACTAGCCCGCGTTACTAAACTCGCCATACTGTACACATTAACTTCACTATTATATACAACAACAAAAAGTTTTGTTCTTCTGATGTGGGACAAATAGCTATTACTTATTAATCGTCTTTTAATGGAGTTCTCGTTTCCGGTTTCCAAAGGGAGCAAATCAGAAAATTGTCATGTCATTCTCAGGAATTAGATCTTTGGAGCTTGTTCGTATCAAAGGCCAACACTTTCGACCTTTTCCAATTTTGGGTTTGTGGCTTGGTCACGTATATGTTTGAACTAGGGTGTATGAGCTAGTGAATGTAGCAAGATTATATAGATGTTAGTTTTGATAAGATTCAATTCTAATTTCTCGAAAGATCCAATCTTTGCAATAGTTTTGGGTTTTTAAGCTAGTAGCAAGAAACTTCCTAAAAATCTTGTGGGTTTGTCACACCATAAAAAGGAAAAAAACCAAGAAAGCTAATCTAGGGAGAGAGAAGTAAATTGACAGAGGATAAATCCACTACTGTTTGCAAATTTTTTTTGTCATTTCACTCTGATATTGCTCCTCTCATTCAGAGACCAGGTCATTCATTCATGTTGCCTTTGGAGACCATTCTGGTTCTGAGCCATTGTTAGTGTGCTATCACCTAAGTGAAAAGAGATAATAACCAAGAAACAAGTAAGATAAGGGATGACAAAAGAAATTTAAGGTATTGTACAAAAATATTTGTATTGTTGGAAAGCTACTTACCACTATCTGAATGGTTTAAAGCTTCAGATTGAACAGGTATTCAATTCAGAGGATCTCTTTGTGTTTGGTTTGTCTCTTGTTCATGATGATAACGATGACGTTGTTGCTGCGGTCTTACTCCTTGTAGCCCGTTGTTGTTTGCTTCATATTCAGGTGTTTGCAGCTCCAATGGCAGTTCGTATTGTCCATATTGGTCATCTAGCAGGTGCTCGAGTTGCGTCAGTTGTTCTGCTGTTGAAGGATCCATCTGCTGGAAATTTGGGACGCTATTTTCAATATCGTCTCCAAACTCATCTGTAAATGTAAAATGGTCAAATCCCGCAGTAGGTGCTTTTGCAACGGTTAGAGCTCTAGTATCTATGGGAAAGAGAAAGGACATTGAATCAGACAAATGCTTAAGTAGAAGAGTTATAAAAAAATTAGAAAGGAAGATTAAGTCTTTTCTTTACAAGCAAGATCATTAGATGTTGGGCATTGAGCAGTAGCTGCTGGTGCAACGGCTGAATATACATGATCGTAATCTATGGAGGAAAAAAAAAAGAGTGATTCGTACAAATGATTCAATGTAAAAGGGTTTAAACTATCAAGGATAAAGAGAGAAAGGTTGAGTGTTTTCTTTACATGCATTATCAGAATCTGTCAACCGTTGATCATTAGCTGCTGGTGCATCGGTAAGAGCTCCAAGATTGGTACCTATGGAGAAAGAAAGTAGAGTAATTCATAAAAAGGCCCAAGTAGAAGTGTTAAACAAATGAGAGATTAAGAGAGAAAGATTGAGTCATCTTTACATGCAGGATCACTATAAGGAAACCATTGATCATTAGCTGCTGGTGGAACGGTAGGAGCTCCAAGATTGGTACCTATGGAGAAAGAAAGTAGAATAATTCATAAAAAGGCTCAAGTAGAAGTGTTAAACAAATGAGAGAGTAAGAGAGAAAGATTGAGTCTTCTTTACATGCAGGATCACTATAAGGAAACCATTGATCATTAGCTGCTGGTGGAACAGTAGGAGCTCCAAGATTGGTACCTATGGAGAAAGAAAGTAGAATAATTCATAAAAAGGCTCAAGTAGAAGTGTTAAACAAATGAGAGAGTAAGAGAGAAAGATTGAGTCTTCTTTACATGCAGGATCACTATAAGGAAACCATTGATCATTAGCTGCTGGTGGAACAGTAGGAGCTCCAAGATTGGTACCTATGGAGAAAGAAAGTAGAGTTATTCATAAAAATGCTCAAGTAGAAGTGTTAAACAATAGAAAGATTAAGAGAGAAAGGTTGAGGGTTTTCTTTACAAGCATGATTATTTGGTGTAGACCATTGATTTTGATGAAGATGATTTTGCTGACCATCAGGAATCGGCAACCGGTTTACTACAAGACAAAAAAAAACAAAGGAAGCTTTAGAAGTCAAAAGTGAAAGAAATCGAGTTTTTGCTAAGCTGCAATCATGACCAGTTGAACAGTTGTAGTAAGAGAGAAAGGTTTGAGTATTTTCTTTACAAGGTAGATGAACAGTTGTAGTAGACCATTGATAATGCTGAAACTGATGTTGCTGATCATTAGGAATCTGCCACTGGTTTACTACAAGACAGAGAAACATAAGGAATTCTTAGATGTTAAAAGTGCAAGAAATGGAGTTTTCGAGCATGACTCTAGTACCATATATGTATGTCGGATTTTACCTTTTGGACCATTTGTATCATCTAATACCAACGTTGCCAAGCTTGAAGGACTCACCTCTGACATATCAGCTACATAATGCAAAGAGTTATCAAACAAAACAAACCTAATTTTCAAAAAATTATTGAACTTTAGAAATATCATCAGTAGAAAGATTTACGAGTATTAGCTAGTTTCTCCAAGAGATGAGCTCCTTCAGGATCTTGACGAAGAAAATTCTTGAGTGTAGCTACACAAAGACACAAAAAATAACTGAAGCAGTTCATAAAATCAATCAGTAAATAATCCATAAGAAGATTTTAGTCCTTGTTACGTACATGATGCAGTATTGATATCAAGAGCTCCATGCTCGACCATCAGAGAAACTTGCTTTCCAAGTAAACTGTTAAACATCGTTATTTGACGAGCTAATTCGCGTTTTAAGTGGTACTTGTTGAAGAACTCTGGACTCTCTTTCTGAAGCTGCTCCCATACTAATAAAAGAAACAGAATTCGATCGTTTATAAACAGTCCACTTGGCAATATAATTTTTTTTAAGAAATTATTTTCAATTAAACCACAAATAAAAGACATTTAATTATATTCACTTAATTCACAATTTAATATAAAACTGAAATTATATAAATTATGTATTAAATATATACTCCACTCAATTTTATTCAACACACAATCAATTAGAATTGTAACTCCCATATTTATTTTTAAAAATTGTAACTTCTATCATTTCTCATCCTATAAATACTCATTTCCTCATATTTTCATTCTCTCATTCTCTCATCCTCTTCCACTATATCTCAATTTTTTTTTAATTATTGTTTTGTGTTTTTTATTTAGGTTGTGGTTGTTGTTGTATGGGTTAAAAAACTCAAATTAAATATCATTGTAAAAGCTTAATTTATAACTTATATCTCTCATCCTCTTCCTCTTCCGCTATATTTCAAAAAAAAAATTATTATTGCTTTTTGTTTTTATTTAGGTTGTGGTTGTTGTTGTATGGTTTAAAAAAACTCAAATTAAATATCATTGTAAAAACTTAATTCTATAATTTAATTTCTACATTAGTTTTTTGATTTTTTTAAAGATTCATCTCCATTTTATATTTTAGATTATCATCTTATAAGTAATCATTCTCTCATCCTCTTCTACTATATTCATGTATCTAATTTTTTTTGTTATATGGGTTGAAATCAATGAAAACATCATTGTAAGAATTTGATTATAATTTTTTTCTCAATTTTTTTAGTTTCTAACACCATACTAGATTACACCTATTTCTTCCTTAATTATAACATTTTTAATTTTGAATTAACATATGTAAAATAAAGTTTTGATGGCTATAACAAAACAATTGTTGGTGATGGAAAGTTAAAAATATAAAATCTAATCATCGCACAACAAGGGAGTGAAGTTGAAAAGATCCATCTTCATTATTTACGTTGGATTGATTATTTTCTAACATATTCATGTATTTTTTTAGTTATTCAATATATAATGAAATCAATTATTCTAATACATTTATCAGATATTTTTTCCTTACCTCTTTCTTATCTCGAATAAATTTTTGTAATTCATTTTAGTATATGTATCACTATATTTATTTTTGTGATCCAATAGATAATTATATTAAGATTTATTATAATGTTTATTTTATATAAAATTTGAGGTTTATGTGTTTTTCAAAAACAAAACAAAATTTGTTAAACAAATTTGGTCCTGAAGATTAAAAAGAATATATGAAATTATATGTTTAATGAAAATTATATTTAGTTAGCAGAAAATTAGAATGAAATCTAACACTCATACTTAAATAGAGTGAAATATAGAAGAAAAAAAACTATAATAAAACAAATTTTTTTATTAAATCCTATTAACATGACACTATTAGTATGAAATCTAGCAATAGAATTTTAATTGATGAGTAGAATTACAAAACAAAAATCTTCTATCCTTGGTTTTTTTTTTTAAAAAAAAACTTTAGATTGAAGTTCATATGATTTTATAAGAAAACAAATTTAGTTTGCCACTTACAAAATAATATGAGTTTGAACTATTATGTGGGAGTTTATATCAACAAACAAAGGAAGTATCTGTGAGTTATATCAATAATTTATTTTGTAATATATGAAATGTATTTACTAAAATATAAGCAAATGTAAAATATCAAATCGTAAGAGCCGTTTAAATTTCTTCTAATTATACTTATATTGAAAAAAATTATAGAAATTATTTTAAAATTATTTTTGAAATGATAGCATTCTTATCCTCTACTGTGTAGTTTTGATTATTTTCTTACATATTCATGAATATATTTTCTAAAATTATGTGATCTTTTAATGAAATAAATTTTGTAAGAAACCTCTTATTTCTTACGTTTGTTTTAATATAATCATAGTAAATATATTTAGTTTTGTGATCTAACATGTAATTTTATAAATACCAGTATATCTATTTTTAAAAGTTTATAGTTAAAATTATTATTTTCCAACAAAATAAATTTACCAAAAAACAGTTATATAATTGGTAATCCGAATTAGTAGTAAAAAAAATAAAAACCTATCACTATAACTTAAATTATGTGAAATATGAAAAAAAAATAGAAAAAGATAAAAATTATCTTTTAGGATTATTGTTTAAAATATAAAATATATGTGATAGCAATGTTTTTTATTGAAATATTATATAATATATAATTTTGTCTTATTTTTATATTTTCTTAAACTTTTTTTATCATTGACACAAAACATAAAATTATGCAACAAGTTGCGAGTATCGCGGCTAAACAACCTAGTACTAATAAAAGAAACATAATTCGATCGTTTATAAACAAGCACAAAATCGATTCAAATAGAAACAGAGATTATAATATATATACTTGGTTTGGTGAGATGGTGACTAATCTTGTGATTGTCCTCCAGATATGTCACCGTTTCCTCCAAACTCATGTACTTTTGAATACATGTCTCGATTATGTTCTTTATCTGAAACAGAAAAACAACAATCACACGATATGAGCAAAGTAGGTCACAATAATAAGCTTTAGAGATCATGAATGTTTGTGTAGAAAGTATCAATACAAAGTCTATGATCTGTGAAACATCACGACTGCCGCTGCAGAGATTGTGACGACATGGATAGCTCATAGCTTTGGAGAGAAGCTGGAAAAAAAAAAAAGATATGAGTCTTTTTCGAGATTGAAAAGTTAAATATATATACAAGATTCACGATTCATTTTTTTGTGATTGGATATTTAGTTGCGAGAATATTTAGTGAGATGATGACATAAGTCACATAACGACAAAATTTAGCTGCGGGAATATTTAGTGAGATGATGACATAACGACTATTTAGTTGCGGGAATATTGTTTATTAACAATAAAAAAAAAACTTCTGTTGCTCCACCGTATCTGTTGTTGTTTTCTAGCAAAAACTTCTCCCCTCTTCAGCCGGTTGACATTGTCACCGTCGAGACGAATCTCCGGTGAAGTCCATTCCCCCACTCTGCCGCGATTCACCTCTGTTTCATCTTTTCCGACGAGTTTCTCTCATGTTCCTCAAATTGTTTTATGCTTGTATCTCATCGTCGCTGAAAGCCATTTTTATGAGTGGCTTGTCGCTAAAAATAGCTCTGGAAGAGAACATTCTCTGAATTCCTCCACTTTCAAAATTCAAAACTCTCTCAGGCTCCATTTTCAAGACAAGCTTCATCAACAAAACTTGTCCATTGAGCTTTTGTTCTCGGTGATGTTTTACCGTCGCTCCTCCTACAACCGTGAAGATCAAAGCCAATGGAATCATCATCAGCATATGGGAGCCCCGCTTCTAACATTTTATCTCGCCATTGCCGGTTACCATTGTGGCCTCTTTTCCGGCGACCAAGTCACGAGCCGCTTGTCTAACCTAGCCGGCAGATGCTCCATAGTGACAAACCTTATATGTGTTTCTCTTTATTAGATCAAGTTTTAAAACGCTCAATCTTTAGGCCATCAAAATCGAATGAATGTGAGAGACCTTTGTCTTATTCCTCCTTTTTGGAGAGTACAGTTTCAAATTCCTCCATATGGGAGAGACCCTTGTTTCTATCTCTTCTTTATGAAGACTCTAGTGGCTTTAGGAGAGGTTTTAGTATCTTGTACCTGAAAAAATATCCGGTTACAATGTTTTCTCGGTATGTTTGCTTTGTGGAAATGGAGACAACTTTTGTTGGAAACCGACTACTTATGCTAGTATACGACTTTGTTGGAAAAGAGATAAAACTTTTGTTTACATCATCCATACTCACTGGCACTAACCTTCCTAGCATCTCCTTGCTTGGCTCGGGACCTTGGCCTGCAATTGTGTGGCTTCGAATCCTCCTCTTAACCGACGTCTTCAGGCGCATTATTGGAAGTTTAAAACTGCTTGGAATCTTCTGTATCCCTTGCAGCAATGGTTATCATGGAGCTTGGCATCCTCGAAAAGGACAGCCCCCCGCATCTACGAGAATCCTTCCTTTCTGGTGGCACTCTTTATCACTAGGATTTCTATTTCTTCAGTTGTAGTTCTTCAGCCTAGTACTTTGTCTTGTTGTTTTAAGGCCATGATGTTGTATTTAGCTTTCAAAACAACATACCAAGGTTATCTATCCTCCTGTGTAAGTTTATTTGTTGTTGTTCTGCTTCTCCTAGAGGGGAGTTTGTATGCCTTTAACTTAATATAATGGAGTGTTTGAAGTAAAAAAAAAAAAAAGAAGATTGCGACGACATGGATCGCTCATAGCTTTGGAAGGAAGCTAACAAAAAAAAAGATATGAGTCTCTTTCAGGAATGAAAGATTAAATATATAAAATTTAAGATCAGTTGCGAGAATTTAGCGAAAACAAAACTTTAACGAAAAAAAAAACAAAAAAAATCATAAATATTGAACTAAGCTAAGCTTTAGCTATATTAGTTTATAACTTCCAATAACTGAAACTAAGCTATAAGCAAAAATAAAACTCACACGAGGCTGAAACTAAACCAAGCTAAACTATCCATCCTCCCCAAGATAGAAGTGGCTTAAGCCCATTAGCCCAATACAACCTAGTAATTATAAAAACTAAATAATATTTAATTAGTTCGTAGGAATTTTGTAGGTTAATATCTATACTAGTAATTTTGAAATACATATTTAGTAGGTGAGTTAAATTGTTTTCGGACATAAATGGTGTCCGATCCGATAAGAAATTTTTTTCAAAAAAATTTGGTAATTTAACCTCACTCTTACACCGGTATTTGCCTAAAAGTCGGATACAAATATTACCGAAATTAGATCGTATCCACTAATTATGTTTCTATATTTAATAATAAAGATATTTAGAAGATTTAGTTCTGATTTAAATTTATGCTTCTCCTTTCATGTTTGTTTGATTATTTTTTAACTGTTTTGAATTATCATATAATACATAAAGTTTAAAAAAAAATTCAATTTTTGTTCTGCATATATTGTGATTCGAAATTTTAAAACGAACATATATTACCCAATTAATGAAAAAGTGCATGTTCAACGTCCGACATCGGCTAAAATATTTAGACAATGATTCAGAATCATATAATAAATAAGATCAAAATGAATCCAAATTCGAATGAGCAGAAACATTAACTTAACAAGCATCCAGATTTAAAAGTTTGTATACGGGTTAATTCGGTTTTTAGTTAAACTGTTTCATTTTACTGGAAATATTATAATTGATATATTTGAAACCAATAGAAAATTTATAATATTATGAACATTTTTACATATAAAAATAAAAAGTAACACGTGATAAATTATATTGCGGGACGAGGTTTTATGGTGGCATGGCGGAACGGGTTTCAAAATCAACATTAATAAAAAATTTAAATAACATTAACTCGCCGCTTGAATACGGGACGGATTAAAATCAATAAAAACCCTCACAAAATTTGTCTTCCACTCCGAAAATTCCACGTAAGAAAACTAAGTGCCGCAATATGAAATATGTTGCACACGCTGTTCTATGCGCGTGATAGAATGATGATCATCTCTTTTAACAGACAGCCACCAACCACCATCATCGGCTCGACACTAACGAAGAAAAGAAGAAGAAAGTGAGAGAGATAGAGATAAATCCGGTTTACTCGCCTGCGGTGTTTTACGCTCTCCGCTTATTTTTTCTTCTCCATGATTTGATTCTTCTCATGGGTTTGGGGTTTTTCATGAATATAATATTATGAACATTTTTTGAACATATTAAAAAATTAGTACGAGACGGATTATATTGCGGGACGTGTTATATGTATATATATATATATATATATATATATATATATATTTATATCTTATTTTAGTTTAAGTTCAAAAGCATATATATATATATATATATATATATATATATATATATATATATCTTATTTATAATATATATTAGTTTCTCTTTAGACCTTTAACTTTGTGAGACTGATTTTGTCACCCAGTTCTGATATTTCTATTATCTATTATTATTATTATTATTATTATTATTATTATTATTATTATTATTATTATTATTATTATTATTATTATTATTATTATTATTATTATTATTATTTTTTTTTTTTTTTTTTATTATTATTATTATTTTTTTTAATCTTATAAAATCCATTGTTGTAATTGTGCTCTTTCTACCTGTTTTTGATATTTCTTAAATAATTGTTTTATATTTTTAATAAGTGCATAATGTTTGTATTACTATCAAATGCATTTATACATTTACTTTCATAATTTGTTATATTGTATTTATGCAAATCTAAAGTTAAAGGTATACATAATTATATTTTTATTTTCTTGTCAATTTAAAATAAATCATAGACGATAATATTAAGCGATATTTTAACATTTTGTTTAGTTTCACTTATAAGCTAATCAAATATTAATTTAGTTATTTTGTTATCTATATTTACATTTTTGGAGTACACTTAGCAAATAAATCCTAGAGTTGCTAAGTATTTACAAAGAATGCCATTGGCATTAATTATTTAATTTCGAAAATTTAAATCAAATATATTAATTACCAAAAATATCTTAACATAATATCTTAACCATAACTAATCATTTCCATAATATCTTAAATATATTAATTAATTTTGACAAAATCAATTTTTTTAAGTAATTCATTTTTTAAATATATTTATTTTAATGTACATTAATTAAATTATGGTTACTATTCGTTATTTTACAAACTCATTTTGCTATATTACTTATTAATTATTATAAACCAAACTCATTTTGGCTATAAATAATTTGTTTAGTTATAAATTAGATTAACTCCAAAAAAACATTATTACCAAATATATAAATATTATTTATGTCTACGGAATAATATGTTATTTTAGATTATTATTATTTCATAAGGTTTCAAATATTATGAATATTTTAACTTTATAAGAATTTTAAATATTATTAATTTTAAACTTATAAGGAATTTAAATATTATAAATATTTAAATTTTATAAAACTTTTAAAGTATCTATAATATTTCAATTCTATAAAAAATTTTATATATTAATAACATTTGAACTCTATAAAAATTATAAATATATATACTATAGAGACAATTAAAAAGCAAACTTTTAAATTTACTCGAATTTTATGTCTTCTAAATAAAATTATTATTAAAAAGAAAAATAACATGATGTTTAATTTCACGGGACGGGATTATATGGTGTGACGGGTTTGTGTCGATATTAATACGGAACGATATATTACGAGTGAAATCTTAGAATTAACAACCAAAATACAATTATGAAGTTTGGGTCGATATTAAAACTTTTATGAAGTTTCAAATATTATAAATATTTAAACTTTATAAGAATTTATAAGAAGTTTAAACATTGTAAATATTTTAAGATGATAAAACGTTTAAAGTATTTATAATATTTAAATTTTATAAAAAGTTTATAATATTAATGATATTTGAACTCTATAACAATTAAAAATATATATATATTATGGGAGCCATTTAAAGCAAACTTTTAAATTGACTCAAATTATATATGTCTTTTAAATTAAAATATTATAAAAAACAATAACAAAATAATGTTTAATTTCACGGGACATGGTTATATGGTAGGACGGGTTTGAATCAATATTAATACGAGGCGGTACTACGAGTGAAATCGTAGAATTAACTATCAAAGTACAATAAATGCTAAACAAAACAAACAATATTAACAAAATAAATTCAACTTAAAATTTCAATTTTTAGTTATCAAAAATCGACCCGTGGGTTTAATGCGGGGTAATATATATAATAAGTACATTTAAATCAAACAAAACAATAGATAATTTTCAAAAAATTTATAGCCCCGCGGTGTACCGCGGGTTAAAATCTAGTAAGTAACATTTTTGATTAAAAAAAACTCAAAAATGTATGACCTTTCAACTTTCATACAATTTTAGAAATACCAAACATATTGATTTTAAGTATGTGATAAGATTCATCACTATATATTTTTTTTTAACTGAAAAATGTATGAACTTTCAAGTTTCATACAATATTAGAATTACCCAACATACTGATTTTTAATATATCAATTTTAAAACTGAAATGTTTCCAAGATTTTAAATAATATCAATCTTAACACTTTTGGCTAAATTCAAATTATATTATTAGGTAAAATAATAATATAGTTTTATACTTATAATATTAATTTATTTGTATTTAACTTCAAAAAAATTATTCATAAATAACAATAAATATAAATAAGTATGTATTGAATGAACAATTTAAATAAATTATAATATATAAATTCTATTTAAATAGACGCTTAGGTGGACGCTGATGTGGATGCTGATGTGGATATCATAGATAGAGAGAAAACTCTCCTGTTATATATATATTTCTAAACTTGGAATATGTGGTCAAGTATTATATTATACGCCGTGTAGTTGGCTATCTTTTTCTCTTATAATTATGCATTCGTAGATAATTTTGAAAAAGTGTCATAAATTTTACCTTCTTTGATGTTGTTAAAAGATTTTTTTCTAAATTCACTAGGACACTAACGTTATACTTAAGTTAAGAAATCTAATTAAATATGGTTTTCTAGATTTTGAGATATCATTATATCGTCGAGCATGTAAGAGACCTATATGTGGATTTTTTAATAGAAGATAAAATTAGTTTACATATAATTATTTTTCAATAAATGAGAATATAACAATCAAAACGAACAATATTGTGGAAGTACATTTGGCCCATTCGTTAAGAGTTTTATGGGGTTCAAATTCCAGATAACGCAATTTTTTGCAGATTATCAGTGTAAAGTTTATTGGCAGTTCCAAACTACTCCAGGTTGTTCATCGTGGTCTCATTTGTTGCAGGGGAAGCATGTCAATCGGATGTCGTACATATATAACTGAGTATTACGGGAAAAACTACATCGTAGAATTGTTGTTCGTGGAAGCCATTTATCGTACTCGCATAAATTGCAAAAATAATGTACAACATAATAATAGGATTAGATCAAATATTTCTAACAATGATGTAACAAATGAAAAATATTAAAAATGATAATAACCAAAACGTGATTTTAAATCAACAAAACCAAAACCAATATCACCATAATCAACACCTCCATATAATCAATATCTTGTGTCGCTAACAACTTAATTTCGAACATGGCTTAGTTGTATAGATCGTTTGTTTAACTTTAATTTCAATGGTTGATGAACTTTAAATACAAAACTCAATGTAACAATTTGATTTCATCAAACAACATCTACATGTACTCACTCTACCTCACATAAACTACCTACACACGCAAAACTTCTTCAAACGCAACAATAAAAATTGAGAGAATCTTTTGGATCAGTTGGTCAGTCAACATCAAACACTATTTCCATTTGTACATTTTCTTACTTTTAGAAATTGTCAAAAAAGTTTTTTATATCCAATTCAACCCCAAAAAATAGTACTTTTTTATTTATGTCCAATTCAACCAAACCAAGTCTCTATTTAACCAAAACGGTACACAATAAATGCTTCTTTTCATAAAATCTCAACTTCCTCCAAATTTTTCACATAAAATTACAACTTTTAATCAACCAATAAAACAATTTTGATTTGCCCATAAGAAAACAGAAAGAGAAAAGATTGAAACTTCGACAATCTGAGATTGTAATTGAGCGGGACCAGTATCGAACGAACCAGAAAGAGATTTGATTCCTTCCTCATCTTTATCCCTCAGGTTTACTCCTTTGACCTCATTTCTAGGTTTTCGAATTTGGGTAACGAGAAAGTTTTCATTTTTCCGATTCTTTGTGACTTTATATAAGTTTTTGATTTCTGGGTTTTGTTCTCTGTATTCAATTAGCTCTGTTTGACGTATCAAAGCAAGAATCTTTAGAATGACGACCGATTTTGATGATGCTTTCGTTTCTTCAAGACAACTCCTTTTGCTTGCTTCGATTTGTTTCGGTGCTCTCATGTGCAAAATCGTAAGTCTTTTTGACCCTTTTCATGTATCTTTCTTTAGGTCTTATATGATGTTGCAAGATTCTTGATTTTGTGTATTCGTTTTGTTTTGTAGGTTTATGACTTGACTCGTTTCATAAGTCCATTGTTCTTCAGTGTTTATGGAAACCTCAACGACAAAGTTAAAATGGAATGGAACAATAGGTTTAGATTCTTTATACCCTAATTCGAGTTTTTTCAATTTTTCTTTTGTGGATTGTGTTTTGAGATGTTTTGTTTGATTATTCTTCCACAGGGGATTCTCAACTTTCCATGCTGTTTTTACTTCTGTGGCTTCAATTTACTTCTTGGTGATATCTGATCAATTTGATGAGAATGTTCATGGTGATTCGGTTATCAATAGTACAACGAGGTTATCGGAATCTGTAATGGGGGTTAGTTTTCGAACAATTTGCTAGTTACATTCACCGATGAGGATGAGATCATCTCTGATGTCTTTAGTGTATTTTGCAGATCTCCTTAGGCTATTTTCTAGCAGACTTAGCAATGATCTTTTGGTATTTTCCTACTCTTGGTGGTATTGAATATGTAAGTAGGCATCATATAATACTTTCCTTATTCATCGATAAATGTCGATAAAGAGTTGGCATTTAATGGTTGATGGATTGGTTTAAGCTAATTGTTGTTTTGTTTCCCTATATAAGGTTTTTCATCACCTCATATCGATGTTTGCGATCTTTCTGTCTGTCACAAGTGGGCAAAGTCAGTTCTATATCTTCTTAGTTCTCTTATCAGAGGCCACAACCCCGTTTGTTAATCTACGGTGGTAAGTTTTTCGGATTTAGAAAGTCCCTTCACAAATTCTGTTGTTGCTAGTTTTAATAATGCGCCGCCTCTCTAAATATCAAACGGATTGATTAATGGCAGGTACTTGGATAATAGTGGTCAAAAAGGCTCAAAGGCTTACACGCTGAACGGGATTGCCCTGTTCTTGGGTTGGCTGGTACTGTTAAATAGACCAAAACAAATCTCCCGTTTCTAGCATATGCGAGAAATAAACCGAATGTCTCCGCTTCTTTTACAGGTTGCGAGGATCCTTTTGTTTATCTACTTCTTTGTTCACATGTACCTCCATTTCCATCAGGTAAGTTCATTCCTGAGCTTTTTGAAATCGTGGCATTTTCGAGACGTGAATCTAACAAGCTTTTTTCGCGTAAGCAGGTGAAGCAAGTGTTTCCACTGGGATTTTACAGCCTTCTTACATTGCCACCGGCTCTAGCAGTGATGAATGTCCTTTGGTTCTGGAAAATCACCAAAGGATTGATCAAAACACTCTCAAAGACGAAAACATCGGGAATGAAGAAACAGTGATGGTTAGAAAGCTCTGCTTGCCCTGAAAAAAGATTTTCGATTGCATTCACTTTGACCTATCCATGAAAAATTGATTGATATTCATGTTGTGATTGTCTCTGATGCCGTTTGGGTTTATGAACAAGAGTGTGCAAGCTTATGGGGGGATTTGTATATTCAAACCTTTCAGCTGTTTCTTAGGTATTCAACTTGTAAAGTTAGAACCAGAATCAGTGTTTCACTCACATTTTCATGATGTTACTGTTACCAATCGCAGAACGGTTTAGGTCCGGTTTGGTTTAAACCGGCTAGTACCAAATATATTTAGTACTTACTAACTTAGTAGTCATCCACTTTTCTTTTTGCTAAAAAAGATTAACAATTTAGGGATCAACCATAACCTATAAGATAATTACTCACTAATCATATATAAACACACACAAAACAGAGACATTAAAGTCTGATTAAAGAGTTATATTAACTATTAAGTATAGGAAATCAAATCTTGTGATAAAAAAATTCTCCACCAATCCTAATTATGAATGACTGTCTCTTCTACTTTTTATTGGGCTTGTTAAAATATCTTAATGGGCTTATTTGATCCATATCTTTAGTGGAATACTGGAATTCATGTCCACTTTTGTGCTTGTTGAACTTGAACCAAATCTTTAAGATCGACATTTCACAAAATCTCCGACATAAGAAATAGTTCAGTCAATGTTGTAAACAATGTTTTGCAAAGAAACTCTTACACACACAATAGATTTTATTAATAAAAACAGCCTCGTCACCGAGGTAACATACAACAGCAAACCAACAAAGAAACCCAAACCACACATAAAAGTGTATTATTACACAGACATAATTTGACAAGTTTGCATCAGATATATATAAACCGATGCCAAGCGTGGACTTATAGTCACATCGCCTTTTATTCTTCACACAAGCTTCCAAAGCTTTTCATATCATTACATAATCATACAAAGCAAAAGACTTGTAAACAAGTCTCTCACTCACTTAACGACGAAAGCTCCTAACCTGACGAGGCGGGTCGGTCTCGCTATCGTTAAGTTTGACACCTGTGTAGACGGCTGCACCAGCTATGGCACCAAGTGTAGGAGCCACCAGATAAACCCAAAGTGACCTATAGTTTCCTGATGCAACGGCTGGTCCTAGAGTCCTCACGGGATTCATAGATCCACCAGTCGATGGCCTGTCAAAAACCCGAAGTGTTTTAGAAACTTTTATTTTGATGCAATGATTCTTAAAAATATGAAGCTTAAAAAGCCTTTAATATGAACATACCCTGCGACTAGAATGTTGAGCATGACCGTGGCTCCAACAGCTATACCTGCCAGTTCTCCAACCTGCTCATTAAACAAAATGAAAAAAAAAAGAAAAGAGAATTTCAATTAATTAGGGTTAGCTACATAAATTACTACCACTTGCTAATCTATATAGGCATCGATTAGTTTTACTATATTTGTGTTTATTTACGTATAGAGGATATTATAATAATGACCATCCCGGCCCATAACAATTTTTTTCTTCTCTAAAAACGTTTTTGGATATGTATAAATATCGAAACCATAATTTTTATAAAGAAAGTCTTACAACATAAATGTAAGTTGTAAATATTGTATTTGTATTTAAATAGTTAGAGACTATCCTGATTATAATATTTAGTATCCATAACTTTGACTATTATTTTAGTAAAAATTAAGTTATGTAAATTATCAACGCAAAACCATAAAATGTAAGGAGAAATTTCGTTTGCTATATTCCATTCGTGTTTATAAGTTGTTAAAACGAAAATCATTAATAAAAAAAACTCAAATATGTTTTTTTTTTTCTAAACCGCAAACGTTATCAAAGTTCAAACTCAAAAAGGTTTAGAGAAAGAGAGACTTACGGCACGAGTGTCGGTAGCGACGGCAGTGACAACAAAGAGGAGAATGAAAGTGATGATGAACTCAAGAGCAAAGGCTTGTCCAACGCCAACAGATGGAACAGTGACACCTCCGGACATAAAAGGATGGAACACTCCTTTAAGTGCAAATGAAGCACAAATGGAAGCTGAGACTTGAGCCGCTATGTAAGCAGGCACGTGAGCCCAAGGGAAGTGCCTTAGAGCTGCGAATGCTATAGTCAGTGAGGGGTTTAGATGAGCCCCTGAGATGTGACCCGTTGAGAGTATTATGATCATCACTGCAAGTCCTGCGCATGCCGCGTTACCGATTAGGGTTTCTGCTCCATTGTATTTCTGGTCCACGATTGGACCGGCTGTCGCGGTGAATATCAAGATGAATGTTCCCACGAACTCGGCTCCAAGCTGCATTACACACATATATACATAAGATGGCAATGATAAACAAGTGCTAGAGAAATAGAGGCTATAGATCGAGCGAAAGTCCAAAAATAGCCGTTTCTTGAAAACTCTTTATATGAAGAAAACTTTTCTGATGCGTCCATGTTGTTCTGTTGTTCACCATGATAGAAATCAAAGTGAAAAGGATCCTCTATCAATCCATAATTTATTTTTTTGATAACTCATAGTAAATTCCTAGACCTATGGAGGGGTCTAGGACTAATCCCTTGGGAGAGGGTGTTCAACGAATAGGGTCTTTCCCAAGTTTTCAAATGGGCCGTAAACAATGGACTCATACCCATGTGGCCGAAGGGATAAAACTGAGCAATTATGCGTCTGAAAAAATCGATCCATGGCCTAGACCAACAGAACCGCTTTTCCACTAGACTAGAACCACTAGCCCACCACCTCTGGTTGAATCCATAATTTTCACCAAACCCATTTTGTATATATATTGTTTTTTTCTTATATATGAAAAGTTTAGCGTGAGGGATCAAAGTTTATGTCAAAGAAGAGTGTCAAAAATATTACGTTACATTTTTACCGACCAAACGTCTTGATTTCAAGAAAATATATTCATCCATAGAAGACCATTAAAATAGTTTCATTTCGGTGAACAACTTTTAAAATGAATTTTTAAATAGTTTCATCGATAATGCTATTTTTAAATGAATTTTCATGTGTAATGCAAGCACTTTGTATTTTGTTTTTGTTAGTATCAATTGATATAGAGAAATATTCTCTCCGTTCTTTTATAGGTAATGTTTTAAGTTTTTAATTTTGTTCTTAAATAGATGATGTTTTTAATTTTTAGTGCAAAATTAATTATTTTTATTGGTTTTGACGATTTATATCTATAGATTATTTTTTTGTTGCTTAATTAGATAATAAATAATATTTTAGTTTAAAAATAAACAAAAATTAAATAATTTCTTAATATATGTGCATTCTAATAAAAAAATAATTTATTAGTAATCAACTAATTATTAACAATACAGTCAACGGTTAGTAATAGCGTGTGATCTGTCATATCCGTGTCCTCGTCAGTCAGTATCAATCAATCAAAATATTAATCATAGGTTATATGAGGACGAAATATCATAAATAATTAACACTAATCATAACTTCATAAGTAATGTAGATCTTATTAATTAACTATACGGAGTAATATTATTGGTTAATGATCAAACGCAAGAGCCGTGGATTGCCTTAAAAAATCCATCCGGTGGCTGCTTCCGTCATGGACAGAAAATAAAACGCTCACAACAATTAAATGAATCAAAAAACCTAACCAAACCATACGTAACATAAATCTTTCACAATAACAATAGTAAATTGACGTAATATTTAACTAATTTGAATTCGTCATTACAAAACAAAACCCATTAAATCTAATAATTTGTGTGACCGTTTATTTTTCTTCAAAACAAAAACAAACCATTATATTGATGCAACTTGCGTGTTTAATTTTAAAACCAATTAATGTTATCGCAGTCAAGACTTATTAATTATCTCATTGTCACAAGAACAATAAACTAACATATATACAAATATACAATCCATAAGATTGAAATATGAGGAGAGTCGGTGTCTATTGAATAAATTAAGTTGAGTTCGAGTGGGCCTTAATTAGAGAGTTATACTATTATTTTCTCTTAGTTTTTTAGACTTATTTTGTTTGTACATCTATTTCACTCTCTTTCTATTTGCCAGTTCTGATTTAATTCTCGGTTGCGACTGCTAGTTTATGTCGTGTTACAACCTCCTCCAAGTGTGACGTAAACCCCTATGATCTTTTTCATTATCTTATCTATAAATAATAAAAATCGGTTACAAGAATAAATAAGTATTATCTTTTGGTCACTGCTTCTCTGTATTTCAGAGCTTACAAAAACCATAAATTACGATCGATTTGTGAGTTTCCCTATATAGTACATAAATATATTAATATTATTGTCTCGATCTTCATTATTTTTTACCCAATTGATCAACTCGTTTATTCAATATTTTCCCAACGTGAATTCCTATGTATTCTATAATAAACGAGCCAAATATATGAGAATATCCTTATTTTGTAAAAGTTCTAAAGCTATTGAAAATTTAAGGCTTACGTCAAGTTCCTAGAAATTTAATAAATGTTATTAACTCATTCATATTTTCTTCATAAACTTTTGATAACACTTTATAAATCTATTTTTTGTTTGCGAATAATATGCAATATATGCGGTTATGAATTCGCAGTGTGATGATATCAATATTATTACCACAAACCACTAAGATACAAGTCGATTTTTATCATGGTAATTTGGAATAGAAAAAGATATACTAAGAGTAAAATAAAATAAAAAGAAGAAGATGGCTAACCTTGCGAGTGAGGGAGACATCAGGAGAGGGAAAATCGGTGAAGCATGTGTCATGTTGACCCCAAGTTGATCCCATCACCGGCAAGCATTTGCATCGAGGTGTTGGTTTCCGATGATCGAACGACATTGAATCCACTCTCATCCCCGTGATCAACGGTCCTCCCGGTGTTCCCGGAGTTCCCGGCGTTGGAGGAGCCATCACCACTACAGAACCCACCTCAGCCTCCGGTGGAGCCATTCCCAATATTTGTTTTTTGGTTTTTTTTTTTTTGGTTTTAAATAAAAGTACTAAATTCTAATTTTTTTTTTGTTTTTTTTTTGGTGAAGGAAATAAATTGATAGAAACGAAATTTACATGATTTGAAGTTTTTATAAATTTGTGTTTACACTTGTGTTTTAAACTTCGCCAGGACCGGTGTCACCAAACACAGGTTAAAACTAAAGAGATCAATAAATGAGAAAACTCATCAATCGATCAAATTAAAACTTTTTTTTTGTTTTTTTTGTAAGAAATGAAACGAAAATGGTGCTAGGACTTAAATTTACATGCTTTCAAGGATTTTTATAAAGTTGTTTCTACGTTTTAAGAAGAAGAACAACAAAGATAGCCACCTTACAAAAAATAAACCAAACTCAGAAACCGAATCTTATAAAAAGCAAAGACAACAAACTCATAAAGATGCGTACGTTAACACTGAACAAAGACTGATTCTCAAAACTGTGGTTCTAAATAAAAAGAGAAAGAAGTTGGAATGAAGAAGAAGATGATGGGTTTGGTTAGTCTTTGAGCTTATGTTATATTTATATGTGTTTGTGTTTTATATAAAAAAAAAGAGATTATTAATTATGCATTGAACCCAAAAAGATCAATTATAAAAAAAAGTCAACTCCAATATCTTATTGCTTTTATATAACAGCTTCATTCATCTACTGACTCTTTTGAGATTTTGTTGAACTGCTAAAGTCACCGGTGCCTTTGTCACAGGCATATTCGTTACCGTTGGATCTTAGTCATCTCTCCGTGTGTGACGGTAGGAATTGCACATGCGCCGTGAGGGTATCACTCATTCGCCAACCCACGACCCTCCAATAATTCAATATTAAAAATTTTCTTAAGTCTAGGGAAGAGCGCTTGATTCGTGTAACAATATTTAAAGAAAACCAATTTCAGTTTTTTTGTAAGGGTAACTTAAATTTAATTTAATACTAGTATAAACATTAAAAAAAAGAAAAAAGTAATGTTCATTATATTTCATACTGATGTTTTTTCAATAAATGTTTTTAATATTTTATTTGATGTTTTCACTTCATAATGTCAAAATTAATTACTCTTTTTTATTATTTATATTAGGTATTTTGTTTTTGATTTTTTTTTGGTGTGAAAGAGGGAGAAATCTCCCATTATTTATTATAAAAAATCAAAGTCAAATACAAACTTGCCGTGAAATGGCAGTACCACGAATATCATCTAAAGCAATAGAAGCAACACAACTAGGAATAGATTCAAGTAAATGAAAACCTAACCGAAGAGAGAACGCATAGTTTGCCAACCCGTCGGCGAGACGATTAGCTTCCCTATACACATGTGAAATACGGACAATCCAGTCCCTTGCGATAAAGCCGTGGCACAAACGTACCAGGAAAGACAAGGGATGAGCGTCGCTTATCCCTGTCGTTAGAAAACCCACTACCATCTCCGAGTCTACATCCACTACTACACGTGTTGCCCGTCGCTCCCAGGCCAAGTATAGACCGTAGTAAACTCCCCAAAGTTCCGCCATCGGAGCCGAACAAACTCCTATATGCAACGCAAATCCCACCATCCAGCTTCCAGTCATGTCCCGCAGCACACCTCCAGCAGTTGCTTTACCCGGGTTCCCGTGTGACGCGCCATCAGTGTTAACTTTTACCCAGCCATCTAGAGGAGCAGTCCACGAGATCTGCCTCTCCACACGACTTGGCTTCTCTCGCGACTGTCGTTGGGATTGGTGAGCCTCCGTCACCTCCTTAGCGAGATCCTTGACAAACCGAACTCTATCCCGACATTTACCATTCCCACCAAATACGTTTCCGCATCTCCACTTCCAGCCCCACCATAAGGCCATACTAAATAGTGTTGACCAGTCTCCACTCTCCACTATTATTCCTCCACTTAAGTTCCCCCACAACCATTCAAGAAGAGTCATAGAGAAGAAAGTATGCCTTAACCTCGCTGGGATGATGCGAGTCCAGATTCCCTGCATGGCTGGGCAATCCCGCAAAATGTGAAGGGTATCCTCCTCCCCACTTTTACAAACTTGACAGATTGATGAATCACAAAGATGTCTCCTGAATCTTTCCGCATTAGACATAACGGCCTGATTCCCGACTAACCACAAGAAGACTCTAACTCTCTCTGGAGCTACAACTCGCCATACTCGTGCCCAGAATTTTTCCATGTCAGGTCGCGGGTTTTCATCTCTAGAAACCAGTTGGTAAGCCGACCTGACCGTAAATTTCCCCTCCGAGTTCTCACCCCAGCTAACTCTGTCCTTCGCACCTGTGACGCTATCCACTACCAAAGCCCCTAACCGGAGGCGTGTATCATTGGAAGTAAACGGAGTAATACGATCCAGTTTCCAACCCACTCCGTCCTGCCATAAACTCTTTACCAATTCGTTCTCCCGCTCCGCTGGTAACTCACCCTCCACAAGCTCAATTAGAGGTTTATGCATTAACCATTTATCCTTCCAGAATTTAATTTCTTTACCATCACCTAATACCCAGCTCTGACCCGGGAAAACTACTTCTCGAATTCCCATGGCCACGCTTCTCCAGGTCGATGACCAGTTACTAGATGGCTTAGTCCATGCCGTGTTATGCATATCCCCAATCTTATATTTGCATCTTAACACCTTGGCCCAGAGACTTGTGCGATCCTGTAACACTCTCCAACCCACCTTTGCTAGCAAGGCCTTATTCATATCTGCTGCCTGCTTAATACCAGCTCCTCCCTCACTCTTAGGTAGACACACTCTTTTCCAAGCGATAAGGTGTTGTCTCTTCTTTTCTCTTGTACTGCCCCAAAGAAAACTTCGCGAGACCTTATCTAGTTCCTTCAATAGGGACTTTGGCATCGAAATTGTGCTCATTGTGTGTATTGGAATTGAGTTAAGAACCGCTTTTGTAAGGGTTAATCTCCCTGCAAGACTCATACAACGCCCTTTCCAGCCCGCAAGCTTAGAAGAAACTCTTTCCAGTACTTCACCAAATGTTTCCTTATTCAAACGTTTCTGCAAAATCGGCATACCAAGATATTTTCCGAGATTCTTTGTCGCCTTAATCCCACTCTCATCAGAGATTAGTTTCTTCATATCCCTGGACACATTCTCAGAGAAGAAAATCTTGGATTTCTCTAAGCTGACCTTCTGACCTGACGCCCAGCAAAACTTCTCCAGAATACTCCGTAACACTCGAATCTGAGTAACTGATGCCTCCGCAAACAATATTAGGTCATCTGCGAAACAAACATGGGAGAGAGGCGGGCCTCCGCGTGATAAGTGAATTGGTTTCCATGTTTTCCCAATAACCGCTTCATCTATCATATGGCATAACCGTTCTAGACATAACACGAAGAGATAAGGGGAAAGAGGGTCTCCCTGCCGTAACCCCCGTGCCGGTTTAAACGATTCCGTCTTCTCGCCATTCCATAAAATGCTCATTGACGGCCCCGTTACGCACTGCATAATCCATCTAACCCAACTCTCTGAAAGACCCGCTGCTACCAAAGTGTCTTCAAGAAAGTCCCATCTAATGCGATCGTACGCTTTCTCCAAATCCAGCTTCAATAGCATCCAGCCTTTACGACCTTTTTTCCTCTTCATGGAGTGAACAGCTTCTTGAACAACAACTATATTGTCAATGCTCAGCCTCCCTGGTATGAAGCTCGATTGGGCTGGTCCAATTAGCTTAGCCATAACTGGTTTTAACCGTAGAACCATAACCTTTGTTATCACCTTGAATAAAACATTACATAGGCTGATTGGGCGGAACTGTGTTATCATCTCCGGCTTCATTACTTTAGCTATCAACACCAGAAGAACATCATTTAGCCCTGGCGGTAATACCCCTGATTCAAAAAACTGCAGCACAAAATGTGTCACCGATTCTCCCACGATATCCCAGCTTTTTTGATAAAAAACAGGTTGGTACCCATCAGGCCCAGGAGATTTAAAAGCTCCCATACTTCGCATTGCTATCTCAATCTCTGATGCCACAATCGGGTTGCTCAATTTTACCTTCTCCTCCCGAGTAAGACGCTGAAACCCATTATGTGACAAAGCAGGTACTGTTTGACTCACGTCCTCCATTGAGTAAAGTTTCTGATAATAAGAGTTAGCTAGGGATTCCAACTCCTCCGGATTAGACACCCATTGCCCTTCGTCATTCTTCAATGCTTCAATTCTGTTTTTTCGACGCCTGATCACCGTGGAAGTGTGGAAAAAACTTGTATTACGCTCTCCTAGCGCTATCCATTTCTCACGGGACTTTTGGAACCAGATGGTTTCTTCCTGTTCCAGCACCGTCTCCAACTCCTTAATGAGCTGATCTTCCTTTTCCAGCAGTGCATCGGTCTGATACTGATCCAACTCCTCCTGTATACTTGTGATCTCAGCCAACAAATTCTCCTTCTTTTTGTGAACATTCCCAAAAACATCCCTGTTCCAAACTTTCAACTTCACCCGCAGCACCTCCAACGCTTCCGGCGTTGTCATATCCCTCCTCCATGATGATTCTAACAGCTCTTTAAAGCTTCCATGGCTCAGCCAGGCTGCCTCGAATCTAAAGGGTCTCCGGCTCGGATTACATGTACCCCTGGGACTCAGCTGAAGGTAGAGTGGGGCATGATCTGAAGCCAAAAAAGGTAAATGGGAGACTGTTGCTTCCTGCCATTTCAGTCTAGCCTGGGGACAGCAGAGAATTCTGTCTAGCCTTTTGGCTACAAAGTTCTGTTGTACCTTCCCTCTTCTCCAGGTAAACTTATTACCTTTAAATCCCATGTCTATCAAAGACTCTGCATTTATCCAATCACCAAACTTCAGGGAGTCAGCCGAGAGTCTTCCATTACCGCCAGCCCTCTCATCAACTCTCACTATAGTGTTGAAGTCACCACCCACAATCACTGGACTATCAACACCTTGTAGAGTATTATGAAGTTGTTCCCATAAGCCACTCCTTCTATTTGTACTCGGAGCAGCATAAACCACAATAACATGTGTCACTTCGCCTCCATTATCAATCTGGGCGTGGATAAATTGATCCGTGGCTTCAATGATCACCACTGTCCCCACTTCCGACCGCCATAG